GTAGAAGCCTCAGGACCCCTAAATAATTCAGTAGAAGCCTCAGGACCCCCTAAATAATTCAGTAGAAGCCTCAGGACCTTTAAATAATTCAGACAATATATGCAAAAGCGATATATCGCCCAGATTCAAGCCCCGGTTGAAGGACTAGATATATCAACATGACATTGGAACTATCAACATTGATGGTGGTCCAGAACGGACCGAAACGTCGTCGTTTCTTCATCTTCAAATGTGTGGGTTGTATATCAACTACTCTTTAGCCACGTTATTGTGATTCGTCGTCTGCCTACCAAATAAAAATTTTTTTAGCAACAAATTCAAATATAAGACTAGGGGAGGGGATGCGGAGGTACCTGGGCCTCTTCTCCCTTCTCATACTCTTCCTTCTTGCCTCTCTATTGCACATTCTCCTTCCCTGTCTCAGGTTCCTTTCCTCTCTCCCTTAACCTCCTCGTAGACAAAACATGCTCGAATAAACCTTCAATGTTGAATCGTTATCGACGTTGATTCAACGTCAATAACAGCCGAAACAAAGTTCGGAAACACTCTATGAACAATCAATCCCACATTTCAGATTTTATTGGCCTCTTTAAGTATTGCAATTTAATCTAATCGTATTTAAAACATAATAGAAGTAGGATCCCTTGATTATTTCAAGCGTAGGCTAGACATATATATATGAATGAGATTGGGTGGATATAAATAGGCGCTGCCTCGTATGGACCAATATAGGCTTTCTGCTGTTATCTTCGTTACGGGCTCACCATAGCCCGTGCTACTTCTTTGTTCCAGGTAGCGAATCTTTAACTTTATCTTCATTCTTATGTTCTTGAAAGGGTGAACCTTCAACCACCCTATGACACTCCACATACAGTCACAAATCGCAGTGCAAAGTTTGTCCCACTAATCTCGAAGATTCTCTCTTATAGATTTACAATGATTCACAACCAGTTCTACGAGTTAAATAACAAATTAGCGTCATGAATGTCTGTATCATTAGTTTTAGAAGTAAGAATATAAAATAGGTAAAAACGACTGTGTCCTATCAACCCATCTTGAATCGTCAACCACTCCACGATAAACGTACTGAAACATAATGACGATCGAAGCCAATAATAAATATCAGCCTATGAGTAGGATGGTTCACATGCTGTAAAAAATAAACGGAATTCTCTCAAATACAAACTAATATTTGTATAGACTAAACCACACACCAGAAAATGAGGAGACTATGTATTATGATATTCTTGTATATAACAGGTTTATGCGCGAAGATATCCTCATAGTGCACCCAAAATTTGCCAGTGTTTAACGAAAAATTTCTATGAGATATCCTCACACGTTTCATACTGAACATATGGCCCTGTATGACTAACCATCCTGCGAGATGGAGACTCAGTATCACTGCTACCTTATTCACTCTTGTGTTGATGATATCCTCATAATGCACCCAAAGTCTGCCAGTGCAGACTACTTATCACATGCCTCTGTATGACTAACCATCCTGTGTGATGGGGATTTCACACAAATCTAAATGTGCCTTAATGTGTTAATAAAAAAAATAAATAACTGAACTCATGGCGATTTAAGCGTATATGCAGTACTATGTTCGTCCAATCCGTAGCAGACCCTCAAACAACACACTTGTTAATTTTAACGAACTGTATAGCCTAAAAAGGCATTTAAATGCAATACAAGTTAATATTTCTGTTTACTAAGATTGTGAATATTTCGTTGATTTAATTTTACACGGTATTGGCAATTATTTGCATTTACTGTACGTGGTAAAAAAAAAGTAGTGATGTGATTTGAGCATTGTAGAACATAGGAAAAAGAATGAAGCATTTTTTGTTTGTTTTTGAAAGTTGGAACGTAATCAGGTACACGTAAAAATTGGAACATCAAAATGAAAGGCAGTCAGGTTCAAAAGTTGTCAAATACTGACGTACTAATATTTATATCAGTATTTGACTTAAAAGTAAACTTGACCATGTTTGAAGCCATCACTTGAAACGTGCTTCATTCACTTTCAGAATGTATAGTGAACATTCCCTAAACACCAGACCCAAAACACCTTACCTAACCTCACCTAGTAGACTGCATAAATCACAAAATATAATATTGACTTACGTTTAAGAAAACCACAGCTTATTATTATACTTCTACTCCCAGAACCCCATCCAGGTCCAGAGATTCGTGTCCACTTGGTTGTGTTCAGCGATAAGACCTACCATTAATGTATAATGACTTACTGTAAATGTATAACTCTTGAAATAGCACTTTCTCTGTAACTAGCTGACATTGTAACTATAAGGTGTGAAGGATAGATGAAATTGTTTATGTAATACTCTAAGATGAGGTCTAATAAAGACCTTTCGTGCCCTCTGTAATCCTTTTTGCGCTACCGCTCACAGGATGGGTATGGGGTGCACAATAAACAAGCCGCCTCCGGCGGCAACAATCAAACTGGTTGTGTTCATCAAGCCAAATAATAACATACAAATCTGCCTAAATCACTATTTGATAGCTTGTAGGAATAACATAAGTAGGAGTCACCATAACAGGCCTCTTGGCCCACTGTGGGCAGTGACCAGCCAATTTGTAAAGCTATCAATACCATTTGCCCCAATGATGTCGGCCGCCAACCTGATTCACTAAACAACGTGTAATGGTACTTACTCGTGCAGGCTCGCCATCCAGGTGATTGTAGATTGTCGTTCGGATGATATACACTTCTCACTTTCACACGCACACTCGTAGATAAGTAAGACTATCGCGGCGTTAACGAGCACTTGACCATTGTTTACGAGGCCAGGCTGTCACCTGGAAGGGCCTCAGAGCCTCGTATAATTTGTGCAAATTATGAACTGTCCGACTACCGAAGTTAGTATATTATTTGACATACGTAGTACACGATATTAGGCGACGGGTTGAACGGATTATGTAAAGAGATATTATGAGAACAGACCGACCCAGGTTGGTCACGACGTGTACCCGCCGCCAGCCCTCAAGGCGGCAGCGGCCATGTTGACAATAACAGACAACACACGACAGGTGTCTCACACCTGTAATATGTTAAATATTACAAAAATTATGTAGCTTCTTTCTATTTTAAGCAACTTTCATGTCACAATTGTTTTTCTTCTCTGATATCTCAACTTTATTGTAAAGTTTAAAGAATCCAGGGCCAAGATTCAAGGAGGATTTACAGCATCTAATTGCAAACCTGTACATCTTTTCTCAATCTTTGCCGGTTGTTAACATTTATTTAACAGTTTACGAGCATCGAAACTTCCAAGTCAAATGTTACTAGCGTTATAAACAGCCTCCTAGTGCTCGAAAACAGTTTAATAAATGTAATAAAGATTGAGAAAAGATGTACAAGTACAGCGTAACTGCTTGATGAATAGTTCATCAAGCAGTTACGCTTCATGAAGAATATGAACCATTCATCATGCCCTAAAATAGACATGTTAATTTTTAAGATGCTCATGTCTTTTTGTTAAGAAGGGCCATATTTCGTTTTCAAAAATTCTGGACCAGGTAAAATTTGTAATACCACTTTCCTGCGACACTGCGACACTGATGCAGAGAAAAAATATTGTGCCGGGCGTGTGTTTTAAAAATGTTTTATTTCAAAATATTTAATTGCACCTTGAACTACGGAATGAGTGTATAATAGTCATTAGGCTGCGGACAACTAGCAGGATTTAGTGAGAAGTGGCTGGGTGTTGTTACACCCGCCATACATATAGTCATTACAACTGGAACACAGTTAATAACATTATTCATTCTCAAAGATTTAATACAAAAGCATTTAATACACCAACGCTAAAATCTGGAACTTTATTTACGATTTAAGTGACTACGTAATCACACTTATCATGAAGATAAACTTGTATTATATATATTAATATATATATTTATATCTTCGCGTAAGAGATAACTTCAACTTTTATAAATCCTTATCAATATTTTCTACATCTGCAAATAAAAGCCAGAGATGGCAGCGACGAGGAGTGCGACCTTGATGGTCCTGGACGCATGCTGGAATGTCCAGTGTACCCACCTCCCACGCAACTCTCCTCCCACCACAACCACATTCCTCTTCTCTCTGTACGCAGTAACGTCCACAGCGTTATACACAATACTTGCATCCAGAAAAGTAATATATATATATATATATATATAATTGTACTCTCCTAATTGTGCTTTCGGGGGAAGAGCTTCGGACCCGGATCAGTGCTTGGCCCCTAGGGACAAGCATTCTACTCTACTTCTTCCACATTTGTAAAGATAATTTCAGGACAGAACATAGAACAGAATATGTTTTGGCTCTAGAATGGACAAATTTGCTAGAACTTGTTCAGAATAAGAACAAGTTAATTCCATGGACTGCCATCCCATGTTAATCCCATGGACACTACTTATGAAGAGATTAAGATATAAGAAAGCTTCTGATTAAGATTAAGATATAAGAAAGACAATCTGTTAAAACAAAACAAAGAGCAAAGTGGGGACATGTCTGAACTATACAAACAGGTGGTGTAAAAAGATGGTGCTAAATATTACAGACTCGAAGTTTACAAAACAATGGATACAAATTGGTTATGAATCAGTAAAGACATTTAATAAAAGTTTATGAGCTCCAAAACACTACGAGATTGTTTATAACAATAATAACCTTGCTCATAACCTGTTTAATAAATGTTAAGTCACTGTAATTGAGGAAAGATGTATATTGAAGACAGATGTATAGATGAAGACAGGTCGCACTCCTGTCCGCTATGGGTTTCTAAGTGATTGCATAAATTGAAAATGTGTATGATATAAAAAGATTTAACAATACCTCTGAGTTTGTTACGGGCTCACCATAGCCAGTGCTACTGGAACTTCTTGTTCTGAGTAGCTGAATCTAAAACAACAACCTCTGAGGTTTATCAATGATTGTTTCTACTCTCATAGCCACTATACTCAGGTGATAAAAGTAATAAACATAGGAAAGAATACACTTTATTTAATTTACAAAGTTTTGTACTTATCATGTACACTAAAAATATGGTACAGAAAAGTGTCAATTACTAATATGAAAAACAGGTGAAGATATATGCATCACATGTTCCCACTGGCACAGTAACCTAACAGTCCAGTCGTTGTAGTACCCTCCAATATCTAGGCATAATTTACAAAACTTTGCGCCAAGTAAGTTATATTCCTTCTATTTTTCCTTTAGATTACACAAATTCATGCTCATATATATATTTATATATGAAACTATTTACCTAACCTGGAGCTGGTGAATCATTCAAAAACTAGCAAAATGAAACTTACTTCAATTATCAAATAGATATTGTTCATCCACGGGGGTTTTCAAAAATTATAGACAAAATATCATGAGACTAGCTTCATTATTTTTTGTCAATTAAATATTTCTTAAAAATTGCAGTGCAATTTACTTGCTGTGTTAAACATTTGCTTTCACTTCACATTCTGACATCCTGTTCAAAAAATACATTACACGTAACAAGCATTGTTCTTTCATACAGAGTACGCATGAAAAATGCCCCAGGTTTAATTGAGTGTATTACCAGGCAAATGTGTCGTCGAGACAAAATGTCTAGCATCACGTAATTGGAAAATTAAACAAGTTTTTATGTAAACTTGGGATAATGATAAAACATACATTAATCAGATAGTTTCAATTCAGAGGTCATATATACATCACAAATTGTACTTATCAATATAACAATATAAAAAACACGTAGTTTTCACCAAATCTAAATTGTTAATACAATTCGTGCTCTAGCTACAAAAATAGTCACCTTTACATTGCACAAGTCAAGACTGCCAACCACTTACCTCAAAAAACAAAGTTGCACATGAACTACAAAATTTATATTTTATGTTATATAACCCCTTCATAAAACATTGATGGATCTGAGAATATGGACTTAAAAAGACTTTAAACATGTACTATACCAATCCTTATATGCACTAAGTACAGAGTAAGTTGCAGACATCAAGAAAATTTAAGATATCGACTTTGTTACTTGACTCGACAACAAGTATGTAACAGATGACAAACCAACACGCCCTTCTATCTAAAGCATTTTCACCACATCTGAGTTGAAACTCCTCTGTTCCATTTATTTATTAGACGTATAATATCCTCCTCCTCCTCCACCACTGCCTCCTCTTCCTCTACCTCCTTGTTGTGAGCTGTAATTCCAGTTGGTGTTTCTATTATAGCCACCATAACTTCCGCCAGTGTTGCCGTTACCGCCTGCTCCTCCTCCTCCTCCTCCTCCTCCAGAACTGTAACTATTCCCCCCGCCAGAATTGTATCTGTTGTTTCCTGAACTGTAGCCAAAACCTGCAGTGCTATGTCTGGAATTATAATTACACACAATCAGTTATGTTACATTCATTTATTATTATGTGTTACTTATTTTATACACACAAAGCACAGGATAACATGCAAATTTTGCAACTATCATCATGCACTATTATTTCATACACACTCATATATTTCATACATTCATATACAATATTCATGAATTTTTTTTTACATAAAATAGCTTTGTCTAATTTATAAAACATTTTTATCTGTATTTCTGATGTCTTGTTTCCTTTGGAGACTGCATATATTTTTAAAAGAGAGAAGTTGGACTCTGCAGAACAAAGTCTCCAGATACCAAACTTTAATAAGGAGTTACAAATTTGTAAAGCATTTGGCAATTACACAAGATGAAGAGAAGAAACAAAGAGCACACAAAAGAATTATGTAATATACTGAATTGATCACATCTCATCAACATTTTTTAGAAAGTAATCTATAAAAAATAGGACCCTACATCTACAAATATGAGTTCAACCTTAACATGAGGCTTGACCATGAAAAATTAACAATTTGAATTATAGATATGAACAATTTAAGTAGCAAGTGTGTTGCTGTTAGTAATTGACAATTATTGGCCATTGCAGTTACAAAGACATACAGCAAAAGGTAAGGTAATTATCAGAAAGTGATACGACTATATAGCACTTGGAAGGGATACAAGGACAAGAAGCTGTGATAGGATGGAAGGAATGGTGCCCAACCACTTGGAATTCAAAGGGTCGAATGTCAACCAGAAAGAAGCAAGGCCGTTGCTTAGTTTAGCTAGCCAATATGTTGTTACTTAGCCAGTATGAAATATATTGAACCAGTTATGTAAAATTAATATTTGAAGAGAATGGCTGTTTGGCTGCCTAAAGACGCCTTTGGCCGCATCTGTCCGACTAAGGACAGATGCGAGACATTTGGAGAAAGACTTACCCAACTTTCCAAGGTGACACATGGAGAATATGGGAGTGTTATGGGCAAGTTGGGGGTCAGCTAAATGCCACAATATATAAGAAATACTAGTGAAAATCATTTTGAGGCAACTGAGTTTCTCGAACCCATGTTCTGGTGAATCGCAGACTCATACTCTAACCGACTCGACCATAATAGTACAAAAGTTGGCAACCCAAAACTCTACTGAATTGACTGGGAGGTCCTGGAGAAACCCAAACCGAAGCCAAACGGAGAACAGGGATTTTCAAGTCTTTAAACCATTAAGACCTTAAGCCAAAACAAAGTGTAACCAAGAATCATGCTCCTGAAAAACATGGGCATCTTACCTCTGACTACTGCTGTAGCCTCCCTGATTTCTGTTGCTATTGTAACCAGATCCATTATTGTAGCTTTGGCTTTGTCTTCCTCCGCCATAACCTCCACCACCACTATAGCTATTTCCTTGTGAGCTGGAAAAAGTTGGCACATTTTAGAAGGGGAGTTTATTCATTCAGAATAGGAGAAGATGGATAATAGGGCAAAATGACAGCATTAAAAAAATAGGGAAGGAAGCATGAGGGTGAAGCATCATCATCAATTTGTTCAAGCACTTTTTCAAAATCCTTCAATCCTTGTATCCATTTCTTTACACTCAATTGCTTACACCTGTTTGATCCAATCATTATAAATAATACATTTTAAAAGTAACAACATGGCCATCACTGGATTGATGTGCATTGCCTAGGGTCTGTCACATTCTCTGACAATCTCTTACACACATGCAGCCTGAGCATACTTATGTACCGTCTATTTCCACGGAAGTGGATGACAATTGATACTTTATGTAGTTTGTGACAATTCTGTAGCATACAGAACTAACTTCATTTGATCTGCTTCTGAAAATACATTTTAAAATAACATTCCTACATTTATCATACCATTCACAAAATCATTCCCACCCAGTCTCGTTTCTTGCTACCATGCTCAATCCATGCTTCCTCACACCCTCATCATGTCCTTCCCTGCCAAATTCACTTGCATACCATCACCCATTAGCTGCCAAATTCATCTCCATCTTGCAGTGAATCAACATTTCCACTCCAATTCTTTCCCTTACATTTTTATTTTTTAATCAATATGTCTAAAACCGCATATGCTTCTTGGACTGTACTTTTGATTTAAGAAATATCGTACAGTACAAAATCATCCTTTACAATAGAGGTGAAAATCTACCTGTATTGTTAAGTAGATAATTAAAAATAAATTAGAAAAGGATGGCATACTAAAAATTATAAGAGTATTTACCTATGATAATTTGAGGACTGACTCATCATTTGGAAGTTTGTAGACGGGGGTACTCCAAGGAGACTTCTATTCCCACCTCTGTTATTATAGCCACCCCCACGACTACCTTGTGGGGGCGGAACATTGCTGTACTGACCGCCGCCTCTCCCACGATTCATGTGGTGGCTATATGGAAAATTGATTATTATTATTAACACCACCATTATGGCCAAAGATTATTATTTTCTGGGTCAATTTGAAAATCATTTACTGTACCTCAATATTTAGATTCATGATAAGTGATATGGCATTGCTGCAGTCAAACCTTATTAAGACACCTTACAGATTAAATACTTTAACAAAAGCATCAATGACAATCAATATGCTAATTAAAAAATCTTTAAAATGTATATATATATACTGTATTTATAATATAATAAAATATATATTTATAATACATTATATAAATATATATAATATATTAAAATTTAGTACATATACAGTATTTATTTCAGGGGTTAAATTAAGAAGGTTTAACTGTGGCAAAAAAAGATGATATATAATAAGCAACCTCATAGGTGGGGACATTCCAAGAAGTCCTGCTTGGTCCATATTAGACTCGTCGAAATAATCTTCATCTGGAGGGGCTCCAAGTAGACTTCCCTCCTCGAAGTTCATTTTATAAGGATTTACTTGGTTGGGTCCTGGACCAAGTAGTCCTTCTCCCTGTTTTGAACCTCTTCCGTATATATCTTCCTGTTGTGGGGAGGACCCTAGTAGGCTTCCCTTTTGATTACCTCCTCCAAATCTATTCTCGTGTTGTGGCGCACCTTCTAGTTGGCCTCCCCTTCCATACATGTCTTCACGTGGCGGTTCTGGTCCTAAAAGGCTTCCCCTTCCATACATATCTTCACGTTGAGGTTCTGATCCTAAAAGGCCTCCCCTTCCATACATGTCTTCACGTTGTGGTTCGGATCCTAATTGGCCTCCCCTTCCATACATATCTTCACAGTGAGGTTCTGGTCCTAAAAGGCCTCCCCTTCCATACATGTCTTCACGTTGAGGTTCTGAACCTAAAAGGCTTCCCCTTCCATACATGTCTTCACGTTGTGGTTCTGGTCCTAAAAGGCCTCCCCTTCCATACGTGTCTTCACGTTGTGGTTCTGGTCCTAAAAGGCCTCCCCTTCCATACATCTCTTCACGTTGTGGTTCTGAACCTAAAAGGCCTCCCATTTGGTTACCCCTTCCAAGCGCACCATCTTGCTGTGGACCTGACCCAAGCAAACTGCCCTGTTGGTTTCCCTGTATTCCTGAGTTATATGACCATCCTTGTTGAGATCCATTTCCTAGGAATGGACCTTGGTGTTGTGGTCCCAGGCCAAGGAGGCCACCTCCACGTCCCTTTCCATTTTTAACTGGTTTTCCTTGACCTAGCATTGACCCAGCACCATTTCCTTGAACTCCAAATCTTGATCCAAGAAGATTTCCTTGCATTCCAGGCCCTGATCCTAGCAGACCCTCTTGTCCCGGTCCAAGAAGACTTCCTGGACCTCCCAATCCTGGAGGGCCCAAGAAGGGCCCTGGTCCACCTAGACTTGGACCCAGGAAACTCCCAGGTCTTGGCGGTGTTGGAAGAAGCCCTGGACTTGCTCCTAGAAGCCCCTGCCCTCCTCGGGCACCCTGCAGAAGCGGCACGTTGTTGCTGTACAGCCCTCCACCATGAAGGTTCGGCAGGAGGTGGCTGCAGGAGGACGGCAGGTTAAGATGCATGCTGGTTCTCTTGTTACTCTTTAAACTCCTCAATGGGAATAATAAAACATACCAAGAGGAGATATAAAAATTTATTTACAACCCTAAACAAAAATATGCCATTCACTATCATGAATTATCTCACTTTTCTAAGATCAAAATTGGACCCAAATATATAATTCACGTATAAGTAAGACAAGGAGCAATCTAACAGCACTAAATTTTAAAATCAATAAAATTCTCCTGAATTATAAATTAAGTCTTGATATCAGGAATGTATGAATTTTAGTGAATTTAAAATACTGTATCAACAATACACAACAATTCAGACATATCTTATAATTTTAAATTAAATAAATAAAACGGGCACCAAAGACCCTTAATTATTTTATGTACTTAAAGTAACACTGAATTAAGGATTAGAAAACTGTCTCAAAACATGTCTGAATCAACCTGAACTACATTCTAAATCACTTACCCGAGAGTTCTGTGGCCAGAAATATTCAGGGATGCTCTTGGCATATTCTTGGCAAACCCAATTTGTGGGCGGTAATTTTTAGATTCAATTGCCGATAGGTCCTGTGGTTTCAGCACACGGGGAGGACTGTCTGCCTTTTCAAGCCTTCTTGATGGGAATATAAAGCCGTCAGGATATTTAGGGTCCCGGAATCTTACTGTCACTACTTGGTTGTTTTCAACTGGTTCCATACCCCGAACAGGAGCCAATAGGGTGCTGCAAATAAGACAGTAAAAAATATCATATTAGAAAACATTAAAAATGTAATGTCAGTTAAAAATTGAGTTAAGTTGAAAAGTTTAGTTTTTCACACTCTCATTATGCATTTCTTGTTGACAAATAAGCCACCTAAAAAAATACATATAAATTTTTTTGTAAAGAAAGTTGTTTTCTTGCTACGACACATTGGCAAGTCATGTACTCCAAAATATCTGCAATTACCATCTAAATTAGCATTGATGTTTACCATTTAAACAACCTTTAGAGCACTGTATTTCCAAGATAATTTTGTTTTTTCCATTAACTTTCATAGCTGCTTTTGTTGAATATTTTTGTATTTTGGCCTGAAATCATCTCTATTTCTGACATCTGTACACATTCATTTTCTTGTCATTTTTCTTGTCATTGTGACTTTTAAGCACCTCTACCACTGTTATTTAATGTTTTCAACCCACATTTTTAAGAAATCTATGCTATCAAGTCTAACAAAAGTACAAAATCTTCTGCCAATAGGCTCAATCCTGCCAAACTAATCGCTTACTTACAATTATGAATCAAGAAATGAAGTCACTAAATAAGTTTAATATACCAAATTCTCCATTAACTTACTAAACTCTATAGACAAAATTCATGAATTGAAGAATCTTACCTATTAGCATCTACAGAATCATGTGCCTGTAGGACAGTTCCTTGCATGCCTTGATATTCTTTGCCAGATATTGGGACCTAGAAATATACAATAATACAATAAATACAATTATGACTAAAAAAAGTATACATTCGAAAATAAGTACGAACAGAAGTACTAAACTGTATCTATATAGCCCCACTATTTATCATATAACTGCACTTGTAAAGTAACTGTAAATGAGCCTGTAAATTTGAGGGGGCAATGAGGGTTTGGACAAAAGGATACAGAAAGTTACTCTCCAGGAAAGTCTGAATCTGACATTATACACAATGAATATAGTAGTAGATAATTATAGGGATTTAGAAGCAGATCTCAATTATCTTGAATATCTAGTGGTAAATGTCATATGATGAACGTTGAATCAGTACATGACAGTTCACAGTTCACATACCTCTGTCTCTACGTTCATGCCTATGCGGTACATGTCTGTGAGTTGGCTATATGCCTCGTGTTTAACACTGATGTACATTCGGCTATCACCTCGCTTGTTGCGCCTCTTTTCTTCTTCTGTCAGTAAATCATACACTGTATCAAGAGCCTTCTTTAATCTGTCGATGGAAAAAATATTACTAAGCACAAGAAAAACACAAACATTTCTAGATTAAACCTTTAGTAGGCCTAACACTTTATGGTAATTTCTTATTTACTTTATGTTTAGTCAACAAATTTAAATTTATGACGATAAAAATGGTAAGAGCCCATTTAACATAAATAAATACTAGTAAATAAACTATATGCAGGACAGTACTGTAATTATGTAAAAGTTGCCTTACAGGCAAGATTGTAACATTGGGCACAGTTCCATTCCTTGTTTGTGTTCCCTGTTATATTTAACAACCTTTCATATTACAACCTGTCATGTTACAAAGTGTATTATGTAAATAACGTCTCAGATTTACATTTCTGTCTTACACACATGTTCTCTTGGTTTTATTTCTCCCAGTTTAACGAGGCTGTACACGTCTACATTGTCTATTCCCTTCGTTATCTTGTACTTTGTGATCATATCCCCTTCTCCACTTGAGGGTTGTTAGACTGAGTTCTCTTAACCTGTCTTCACAGCATAGTCCTCTTAATTCGGGTACAGTGGTACCTCAACTTATGAATTTAATCCGTTCCCAGTGGCAGTTCATAACCAGAAAATGTGTAAAATAATTTTATCATAAGAAATATTGAATTAATCCGTTCCACACTCCCCAAAAAATTACCAGAGGGCCCGGACGCAGGTTCGAATCCTCGTCACTCCCTCGTAGATTTGTTCTTTTGAACAAAACTTTGCAGTTCTTCCCATACTTCACACATTTTCATGTGAAGACTTCCTCTACTGCCTCTACTCTTTCTATTACTTTCTACAACTTTTCTTACCTTACCACTGACTTTCTTGGAACCCATGGCAAGATATATAATAATTAACTTTTATGTTCAAATACCCCAAAATCCCCAAAACACTGAAATTCTCCACAAAGAATTCAGGCGCAATTGTCAATAGGCAGGAGGCACTGGTAAACTGAGGCGCAGTCGCCATGCCACCATGCTAGGTCGGCTATATGCGTATCAACAAAACGCGTTACCCGAAGTTCGTAACTTGATTCGGATCGAGTTACGAAGAAATTGGGCTCATAACCCAAAAGTTCGTAAAGAGGGACATTCATAAGCCGAGGTGTCACTGTACTAGTTATGTTGGAAACCTCGGTAATTCTTAGAACTTGCTATGCTAAAATCAAAATTGTACAACAGAAACCTGAACATGCGTAATGGCATCTAAGTTAAGGACTAGTGGGTCAAATTAGTCAGCCATAATACTTTTGTCCATTTTAGCTGATCATACATACATTCAAATAAATCACGCTTACCTTTTCTCGTCAACAAATGGCAAGAGGGCAACACCTTGCCAGGCAAACTTCTTTCCATTCAAGTCAATTTTGAAGTCTTCTGGATAAAAATCAATTATGACAGAATCTGGGTCAATCATCAACTCGCCCCATGGTTCAGGAACATGATCACGACTTGCTGCAGGGAACACACCCATCAGCTGCTCAAGGGGGTTAAATGGCTCACCAATGTCAAACTCCACATTTGCTTTTGCACAGTTCGTGAAATCTGAAGCAAAAGGTGCATAGTGGAATGGGAAATACCAGTCCCATGACGCACATCCCTGATAATAGTACCTGTAAAAGAAAATATTTTTCTCTTTAGGGTAACTAAGAACAATGTAATTTTGGTCATAATAAATATACATGTATACTCTGGAAACACAAACCGAAACTGTCTCTATTTTCCGCTTGTTACAACTTGTAATAAAGTTGTTACATCTTGGCTTAACGTGTTTATGACGTATTAGAACGTTGTTACAACTTGCTATATTGGTTATTATAACTGGTTAGGAAGTGTTAAAACTTGTTCGAACGTTGTACCAACGTCGTAGTTTCGGTGTGTGTTTGGCGGGTATAAGCCAAGCCAATATTTCAGTTGCATATTGGCTTGGGGACCATTCAAGCTTGTTCGCATATAACTACAGTACTGTAATAGCTTTAAGAAAGCTATGTCTCAAATTTCTAATGAACTAGAAAATATGTCAAACAAAACTTACTTTAACACCCAGCATAAACCACGAGCATATTCATCAGCAACTCGTTTCCTGAACTCGAGGTTGTCAGCACAAACTTCAAACTTAGATTCATAGTAACGATCTTTGGCACCGTCTTCATACAGCCTCACTTCATCGGGAATTTCTTCCTCTTCATCAGAATCGACACTATCTATACTTCGCTTCTTACCACGTCCACCACTGAAAATATTAGTGTAGGAAATTTGAAATTTGAAAAATTTATCACAAAAGTATTAAAAACTTAATACATGGCAAAGATCCTATACACATTTTATTCTGTATAGGAACAAAACTAACAAAACAGTAATGGCAGACAATAACTAAACTAAACTTTTAATTTAGAACTTAATTTTTGGACAGAAGCATTTTATGTAGTAATTTTATGCAAAAAAATAAATAAAATAGTAATTTAAGAGATCAAACACTGAATTACAAGAACATTTTCTCTTACCCATCATTCATATTTGAGTAACGCTGATCCATGATAGCATTTTTGGCGCCATGTGCTACTGATGTTTCTCCAGCCCTCATAACACCAAGAGCCCCTTGGCCAGTTTGGTTCTGTTAAAGAGCAGGAATATGTCTTAGATCTGAATAGTACAATTTGTTACATTACAATAACAATCTGCAAGGTGTTCATTCAAAACATTCAAGGTGTTTAAAGAGGCAACCAATCTGATTGTACCAAGGCGATGAGTTCACTACATCTGTACATCACCCTAATGACACCTAATAACAACACACTTACATTCCTTCATCTTATTTTCCAAACACAACAAGTACTTTTTTCTAACACCACAAATACTTTCTTCTTACAACACACATCTCAGAATATACATTTATACCACATCTGTACATGGAAGCCAATTTTGATGAGTACTCATCACCCATTCCGTTCCAAAATTAGTGATGTACATTCAAATCACACAAACTTTGTACATTCAAATCACACAAACTTCGTACATTCAAATCACACAATATTGTGATACATCACACTATTGTAATTTTGGCTTGGCTCTCTAGCTTCATCCATAGCAAAGTGCCTTTAGGCGCTCAGAGAGTTGTGCTTTTTGTTTCTTAATTTGGCTATATTTTAATGTTTTTTAATGTTTTCATTACTATTTGTGTTTTGAAATGGAAATAGTTGACTTTGGAAACATTTTGACATTAAATTTACCTGAACATTTGTAAAAATAACAAAAATATGTCCTTGACAATTGCACCAAGACGTTTTTGCCAAAAATAGGTGAGCAGTGCAAGGGTTAAACAAGCACTGACCTTAAATCTGTTTGCAGCTTCCTTTTCCATTTTTTCTGATCTTTTCTTCATTTTATCTCTAGCTCTGAATTCCAATTCCCTTTTCTGTCTTGTTCTGAATATCTCATCTTCCACTTTCCCAAGATTCTGCAGAATCATTTGTACACGTTCCATATTAGCGATGCCACTATCTGTCAACCATCCCTAGAAATAAACAGAAGGAAAATTATATTTTTGTCATTTTTGTAATTAAGATTAAAAATATTTTCTTTAAATAAAAACATAAAAATTAATTTAAATATTACATGCAAAAATGAATAAGGAAAGATATCATCCATGTGCAGCTGTAAACAAAAGATTGTTGGTTCTGTTGGTTCAATCTTTTGTAAACAAAAGAATGTTTACAAGATAAGGATCACATGCCTGAAAACAAATAACCCAACACACACGTAGGAAGTGAAAGCCGTCACTTTCATTTCATGTACAGTATGTGGATTGGATTAAGTGAAGTCTAGCTTTGAGGTTAACTCTGAACACTATATAACATGCACAGTGATGATTTTTTTTATGAGAAGCCAGTTATTTGAAAAAAATCCTCTTGAAACCTAATTATAAGGTCTATTACTGAAGATAAATTTATGACAACATAAATTGCTTGGTTTATTGCAAAATTGCAAAGTGCTTGGTTTGCAATGAACAAAGAAATTTAATAATGAACAAATACTACATAACATTTCACCTATATAGCATAGTATTTAATTACAATAAATAAGACAAGAATAAATTCACATACTCCTGTTTTGTAGCAGCAATCCTTATAGAGGCGCACCAAACGATCGATTGCATTCTCACGTATCTCAAGGGACGGCAGGTGAGGGAGAAAATCGTTTCCTATAGAATTAGAATAGAAATATGTTAGCATAATAACTACTTATTCATACCATTTTAAAAGTTATCTGCATTCGGTATTGCTTGGTTTGCAATGAACAAAGAATTTTAATAATGAACAAATACTATATAACATTTCAGCTATATAGCATAGTTAAATTCTAACAAATGCAAAGTAGACAATAAATGGTAAAGGTAATGCTGTATTTAAATTAGGGTTAATATAAAAGTGAGGCAGTGAACACAGGAACAGATTCACAAATCAGCCAAATATATAAAGGAAATTACTCATATAGTGAGAGTGGTAAATAAGAGGAATTCAGAGAAATTTACAAAAGCTTACATTTACAGAGTAATGAGTAATAATGTCACGATACAGAAATGTGCTATATACAATAACTTAGGCAGTACTCTAGAGCTTATCTAGTTAAGCACACAAAATGTGCTAGAGTTGACCTTTAAAATGTATTCAAACACAAAAATAGTAAATGCATTATGACAATACTTACCAACAAAAAAGCACATCATTACCCAATCGTCAATGGCTCGATCAAAGTCATATTTGAATGGTATGCCGGGCATTGCTAGCTCTTTTTCCAAATATTCTCGTAACACATTTAGACGAACAAAGATGAATCGTGTCTCCTCAAACACTTTGTCAGCTTCACCAGATGAGCCCTCAGCTACACCAACACACTCCTTCACCTCATGACCTGAAATATTTAAAAGCAATAATTATTAGACTTCATATTTACATCATAGCCTATAATGTGTGTTGTAAAACCGAGTACTGTACATTGGTAACGTGTGACATACAGTGGTGTAACATGATGAATTCTTGTTAAGAAAATTATCAATTATTGCTTTTTAAACTGAACATGCACCATAAAGAGCGAAAAGACAATGCAAAATACACCTTTATGGATGTATGAATATTTAACTGAGTGGTTCTATATATGTTCTTCCCTTCATAAAACATTACGGCCATATTAGTGGTTGTTGATATTTTGTTGACAATTATTCTCTATGCTACACGAACATATTCTACAAACATTTAACCAACATTGCATCACATCATCAGCAAATGATGTTTCACATTTAGATTAGGCAAGTCATCATGATGATTGAGTATTACCCTGTATTAAGAATACAAATAAATAAAAATTCATTACTTAAAAACCTTAATTTACTCCTCACAGAATACACAAGGTCATCTTTGAATACTCACCAAGTTGTCCACAAATGTCACAGGGTTTCGGCTTATTTGGCTTGAACTCTTCACGAATTATGGTAAAATTAACTTCATGCGTAGCCAGTCCTAACATAATAAGATCAGCATCGGCACCACAGAGACAATGGTGCGTGTTGGGATCATGGTCTGGCTGTGCTCTTTGGCGACGGATGTAGTCCATAATTTTGTGTTCACCTTCTCCAGGAACATTTGCATCAGAAAGGATAACCTGTACGACAAAAAAAAATAGTATAATATAACCACAACTCAAATACGAATATCATCTAAAACTTGAAAGAAAATTAATTATTGAATGAATACACGACGAGGAGAATTTCAACATCTTATCTTAGAAAAATACATCCATCACTTTACGAACCTTAATACCCCTCCAGCCTGGATCTGTGTTGAGTCGATCGTGAATATAATAATGAAGACACTTAGACAGACGGTCCATGAAGGGTGTACCAGGAGTGATACAGTTGGAGTCAAAATGTGATTCCTTAGGTTTCTCAGGGGGAAGATTAAAACCTGATGGGGGTATAATGTCAATTCATCAGTGTTGAAGTAAATACAAAGCATAAAGGAGAAGGAGTAAATGTGTGCATCTGTGTATAATTAGAGCTACGTTTCTCAACCTTTGTACCCTTGAAATAATTCTTGAGTAATGCTTTAGATAAACACACATGGATTTCATTGTTAACTGAAAGGAGATGAATTGTCTTTGCTCTTGATATTGGTGAAATGTTAATAATTAAACAAATATAACTCAAAAATAAATTTGCATATGATTAGAATTAGTATATTTATCACTATCTCTTGTGGTATCCCAAGATATCCCTAGATATCTTGGGATCCTTTGGAACCCTGGTTGAGAAACGCTGCATTAGAGTAACTGGAGAGAAAAGTTGGGAGGAGGAGAAAGTGTGCAAGATAAAATAATATGGTGAGAAGTTAAATATATAAATATACAGTCATGAGAAAAGATCAATATTTTAGTTAAAAGTGAGACAATTGACAAATGATTATAAAATAAAAAGTATATCTTTATCCTGGTTGTGTGAGTACATACACATGCAAAGGTGGTAGAGTAATAGTAATAGTGCATAAACATTAAGTGAATGTGTTTAAGTCTGTATGTGATTACGAATAAGTAAGTGTGAGATAAAGCCGGACTACTGTAGATGTTTAATAGTATAAGTATGATCCAGGTATGTTATCCCAGGCCAGCCAACCTCAGAACACAAAAACTATTATGAAATACACTTTAAACTACAAAACTAATTATATGTAATTTAGAAAAATAAAACATAACTGCTGTACATGTTTTTCAGTGTCGGATGACAGAAAGGAATTGTAACCCGATCCCCCTATGACCAGACAAGGGAACAATCGTCATTTTCACTGATGGAATAACAAAGAAGGTAGCCAGAGAAGTAGGGTAAGAGATCCAGTCATTCGATTTAACATTTCAGAAACAAAACTTACAACAGTAAAGACGAAGCCTTTCCAACATGTTACCAAGATGATTAACGGAGAGGAAGGACACAGGTGGAAGGTAGGAAAGATATGAGATGAGTGAGAAGATGAGATACGAGAACAGGGATGAAAATTATATCTAACAAGTTCTAAAGTTTAGGTTTGGTTTAGGTTAGTTTAAAGTTTTAAGTCTAAAAAAAAAAACCTAAAGGACACAGGTTAGAACCTAAAAGGACACAGGTTTTAGAAAAAGGAAAGGTTCAGACGTATTCAATGGACAATTCCAATGAGTGGGGGATGGTGCTAAAAATTACTGTCAAACTTTCAATGCTATTTCAAATTCGGGAAATTGCCACATTAAACTAAAAAAAAATATGGCTGTTAAAATTTTTACTCGCACAAGTTTACGAGTTTACTCCCCACTCCTTCAATATGCTCAAACTTTAGAAGTTTTTCTCTCTTACAGTTTGAGTGGTACCTCATCTTACGATTTTAACCCGTTCCCAGAAACGGCTCATAACCGAATACAGTATTCGTAAACTGGAGCGAATTTCACCATAAAAAATAATGTAAATGGAATTAATCCATTCCAGATTCCCAAAAAATTAACTTCAAAGTAAATTTTATACCCAATTCACCCAAATCTTCAGTACTAAAGTATTACAAGTTGTATTAGTTACCTTTACTGATGACTTTACTTGTATGAAAGACGGTGAGGAAGGGGAAGGAAAGGTGTTAAGTGTTATGAAGGGGAGTTCCCTTCCAAATCTTTAAATTCGTCAATAAATCTTTCAGCTGCTGAAAGTCAGCTGTCTGACTAAGGCATGGCAGCCTCCTCATGCCTGACAACATTATGAATACCACTTCTTTTTCTAAATTTAATTTAAATTGCCTTTAACTCTTTCATATCTGCATCACTCATTCCAGGGGTTTTCTTTAAAAGGTTGTCGTACAATTGCCTTACTTTCTCACAAATGATGGCCTCTGAAATGCTATCACTTACTAACTTCTTCTTGTATATCCATATTAATAAAAACTTTTCAACATCCTAAAGTGTTTGCGTTCTTTGTTTTGGGATTGTTGATAAACCTTTTGCCACTTAATTATGCAATCATAATGTCCGTCTTCTTAGCAAGAACAGTGCATATTGTTGACAGATTTGTTGTACTGCCTAGCAAGTTCAACAACCCGTGTACCATTTCCATGTTTATGAATGATAGTTTTTCCTCTATGGTCCTCACATGTGGTTTCTTGGCTTGAACCTTACTGCTGGCTTTCTTGGGACCCATGATGAGATATATAATAACAACTTTTATGTTCAATTACTAAAACATCCAAAAAAAAAACTAATTCTTTACAAAAAATTGGGAGGCACTGGTAAACTGAGGCGCAATAGCTGTGCCACCAAGCGCTAGGTCGGCCATACACATACTGTATCAACAAACTTTGTTTCCCGAGGCTCGTAACCCGATTTGTATTTTATGTAGAAAGTAACTGTAAAAATTGGGCTAGTAACCTGAAAAGTCCGTAAGCCAATGTGTCACTGCATTCGTTTCCAAAAAGATCATCTGCAATTCTTATGCTTAACCGATTCTCACATAACCTTTACTATTGTACTCCTCGACTTTTTATATTTTATTGTACACTAAATACAACAAAGTGTCAAAACACTTACCTGAATACCTGGCAATATTTTTAAATTGCCGAGATGTCTTTTACTCGACTTCAAAAAATACACATTTACATAGCAATTGTGTCTAAAGGAAGATTGATCCTACATTCCAATGCAGTAAAGAGTATAAAAAGAATAACTTTTTTTTTTAAGTAGAGAACTTCAAGTAGTGTGTTCAATGCACTTGAACCCATAAAAATGCAAGAAACATACTGTATATTGTACTCTAAAATGTTGAAATATTAAATTATCTAATAGAAACTTGTTAGAATAATTAAGTAACATTTATCTTTCCAAGCTCCAGGGTTTAGTTTTTAAAACAACCATACTTTTTGTATCGCCAAAGTTCTTGATGGTAATTTTTTTTCAGCTGTGTGTCTGGGATGACACATGGATGGACATCTAGAAAGGTGCATTATTAGTAATAAACAGTGCATGATCACTGGTACTGAAATCAATAAAAAATACCAACACATGCCAAATGCAGCATGCCATCAATTACAGAAGTAGTAGGCATCCATCATATGGATGCTAATAGGACGTCCATCATTGCTAATAGGACGAAAATGAAGGAGGCATCCTATACTCGTAATGTACATTAATACTGGCAAAATTCCCTTACAAATGGCTTGTGTCTCACCATTTGGAAACTGTCATCAGGGTGTTTCATCACTTGGATGCATAACTAAACCAAGGATGCTGCCATTTCTTCTTAATATATCTATGGGTATTCAGCATCAATTCAAGTGTCCTCTTTACAGAATGTCTCCTCTTTCGAGTCATACCATAAGGTTTGCAATAAATCTAATATTACATAAATTATATTTTAGTTCACTGTGACCATCAAGAACTTGCTGAAAAGTCTGGAGATTGACTTTACCCTAAAGTAACTCTACTAATGTTATCTACTTTATATAGAGGTATGATAGCTTTTTAGATTACCTCTAGAATCCTTTTTATGGCAATCATTACCAAGACATTTTTTCTACCTGGATGATAATGGCCAAATTGTTCCAGCAAGTAACCCCTTGATTTTACTAGGAAACAAACTACTAGATACTGTACTGCAGATTAAAAAATAACACTAACCTTTGTCTTTGAGTTCTTGTCTTATCCGTGCTATTTCCACTTTTTTTTCAATGGCTTCTTTGGATGCTCTGAATCTTCTGGATCTCTGCTGATTCATCTTGGCTCTGGGTGCCACACCATCAATGGCCATATACAAGAGTTTACGAGGACGAACAATTGCAAATAGACGATCAATGCACTGTAATGAATTTCAGATATATAAATAATTTAAAATGGTAACTGGTAACTCCTTATGCACATAATTATACAGATCACTGTATCACGTGCTAATTTAAATTATATAAAGTTTACCTATAGCCTGTATCTTAAGGTTATCTTGAGATGATTTCGGGGCTCAGCCCAGTCAGCTCATCCCTGCAGCCTGGTTCTTGGCTGCAAAACAGGCCGACTGTTTTGACACCCCCCCATAAGACAGCTGCTATGGAAGCAGTTCGTAGCAGCTGTCTGTATATACATACAGTTATACATATACTACCTAACTCCTAGGTACCTATTTACTGCTAAAATTTTCAGAAAGGGGTGATTTTCTTTCAGGAGTGAAAGAAACTCTGCCCATTTGTTTCCGCCTCCACCGGGGATCGAACCCGGAACCTTAGGACTATGAATCTGAGGCTCTGTCCACTCAGCTATCAGGCCCTTTATGTACGTGTATCTACACCTTGTTCCCTATCAGGAAATTCCTATTTAATGATGCTAAATACCTACAAACATAAAAAACTAGAATAAAGATAATGAACATGGCCAATAAGAAAACCTGTCCAGGGTAATGATTAGTGATTGATTGGATGCCACCAGAGATCTCTGTTGATTAGCTATAATATTGAGCGAAGTAAGACAAAGTTAATCCAAGGAATTAGAAACCTTCTATATGAAGAGACAGAAGGCTTAATTTTCATTATCTAGAAAGATGTTAGGAATGGAATGTTATGAATGGAGTTAGGAATGACACAATGAAAGTGTACACAAATGGATGAAACCTTGTTTTTTCACCAGAAGGTGATTTCATAATTATACATACTCTAGAATATGCAAGTTTGAGGGCAATATAATGGGGCATTTCACATCAATGAAAAAGAGCCTATCTATGGGTTCTACGTTGCTATGTAAGAACCTATGTTGCCTAATTTCACTAACAGCAATTCCATTTTGCTCAAACTTAAGTAACATAATGTAAAACCAAAACAATGAAACATTTGAGAAAATGCAGAATAGAACCAGTGAAAAGTAGGGGTGCCATAGGCACAATCAGAGACCACTGAACAGTTCACAATCAGAGAACCAGAAAAATGAAAAGGGGACAAAATGTAAAAAATAAAAGTCACTATCCTTACCTAGGAATACAATTCAGGCTACTTTGAAAATTGTAATAAATATAAATTTATATTTATAAAGCATTAATTATATAATGCTTTATCATGAGAAATGAATAAAAACATGCTATACCTCATACAATCAATGCCATACCTCAAATATTGCAGCCATCATCTCATCTTCATCCTTAGGTGGCGGTCTGTCTTCTGGATGTGTACAAGGATGAATAATGCCATTCATATCAAGATAAAGGTTGTCAAACTCCACTCCATTTGGATTCGGTTTTGAAGAATCCAAAGGTATTTGTTTGCCATCATCCGTATTATATTGCTGAAAAAATCAATTAATGTTTATAATTTATTAACAGGTAAATACTTTTTCCCATTTTGTATGGGCTATAAGTACTCTACAATATATTACTAATTATTGTATTATATATATTATTATATACAATATATTATTATATATTAATATATATTGTATTGATAATATATCAATCAGAATCAGCAAATGTTTTAAGATCATTCAGCTAAAACTGGTAATAAATATCAAGGCACAAAATTATCAAAGCTAATATATCAAAATATCTTGCATTATTAAAAATGTAAGATATTAGTTTTAAGATATAGATATAATATCTTTATATAGATATAATGCATAATCTTTATATAAGATATGTAATCTTTATACTTTACATAATATTTATATAATCTAATATGTAAGATATAATCTTTAGACCTTCATGTTGAACATGACACATGAGTATATGAATTATTTACTCACCATGAAAAGTAGCCACTGCTATTTTCTAGGTCATATGAAAATTTACTACAATGAAAATTTGAAGTTTCCTGAACATGCTTATTTTGTACTTAATTAAATCTATCAACTGCAAGCTGTAATTATTATAATGTTGACAGGAATGTTGCAAGTTTTTGTAAATGTGAAAGTGGCTGCATAGACCTTAGTGCCACAGACTATTATCAATGTGCTATTTTAAGAGACAAAATTCAATTGCCTAACCTAAAGGAAAATATTAACCTCAGAGAAAAGTAAACAAATATTGCTGGTTGCCCTATCAATCAATATACTTCCAAGCATATTTGATAATTATGAAAGAATACAAATTTTGGAAACTCCATCATCTTGAGTAACATGAAAATGATCTTACTTTCCTGCCTTTGCTACCAAATTGAAAATCATAAATCACTTAAGACCACACGTAATTAACATCAAAATCAAAATAACTCGACACCCTTAATAGCCAGGCACAAAAACACGACATTTACCACCCCATCGCCAATGCCCCCGAGAGGACCCAGGTGGCCATCCCACCCCTGCCACGCTACCGTCCTCGGGTCACCCTTATCTCACTCACCTTATCCTCAATGCACTCTATGATTACTGTAGGGTATTTCCTGGAGAGCCAGCGGAAGAATGCGGGGACACCCATTGTCTACGGTCAGCGAGGAAACTCTCGCCTTCCTTCTCCTCTAGAAATCCTCCGACGCGACCGGCGACTAAACTAAGGTTGAGAAACGCTAATATTAATGCGCATACTTTTATACGTGTATATAAACTCTCTCATTAAGGAACCATTTGTAGCGTTCCTTAATGAGTAAAATGGCACAAGGAATATTTATTAGTCTATAGGCTGGTAGGAAAATTTGTTTTTAGGTTAATGTATTGTATTATGATCCGGTTTTAAGAGGGAGGCATGACCTCGCGTCGCACATAGATGTAAACAAACAAGGCACTGTCAAGATGCGTCTATGATGAACAAGTGAAAATAGCAATAGTAAAAATAATGACAATAATAATAATTATAATAGCAATAATAATAATTATAATAACAATAATAATAATGAGAAAATCCAATAGAACATTCAATGTGTATGTAAATAACGATAATAAGTTATTTGTACAAGTATTCCTAAAAATACAGTATTATTATATGTCCCGGTAGGAGAAGGGTTAGTTTTAGAATCACGATCAAGAATTCTGGGTTCGAATCCTCTTCTCGAATCTCGGACAGAAAGCTAGGCGCAGCTATGTTTCTTATCATGTTGTGATTTAATGACATTATGTTCTAATGTTCTAATACGTTCTTATCACATAATGTTGTTCATCTAGTCTTGCTCTGATCAATCACAGCCACAGCCGAAAATGCGTTAAGCAATTTTTTAATATTGAAATTGCCTGTAGTGAAATGGGTCCAGATGATGCTTATGACATTCATCTATTTGAACAAGAAACTGCACTTAAGGGCAGAGCAACTTCTGGAGACAATGACATACGTCCTGCACCTTTAGTAAATATTAAGAGACAGTGCAAGTGAACTACACCTTAAGCTTAAAGAAAGGCTAAGTCTTCTTAAAATGCTTGCTGGAAAGAACATTTTAGAAACAAGAACAGAAGAAAGAACAAAAGGTATTTATGTAAAATATGCTAGAATGTTCTACGTGATGTTAAATTCAAAACTAAGCCATAAACATGAGGACAATTCTTGGAGCCCCAAGTGCACAAGAATAATCAACATGAGGGAGGAGCTGAAACTCCCAACCATATGTGGAAGACTTCAGCAGCTCAATACTACCTTCTGTGTAAGGGTGATGAGAGATCCAACATCACCCTTACTACTCAGAAAAAAACTGACTAGTGCTGAGCCACTTAGTGGCTTTACACCTTTTCCAGTTTGTTGATGTGCTTCTTAAGATATGGGCGTCATACAACCGCTGCATATTCCAGCTTTGGTATAATAAAAGTCGTGAACAGTTTCTTGAGTATTTCGCCATATACGCAATTCCGAAGTTACAAAGTGTAGCATAGACTCAATGAACAGCTCATTGTTCTCAAGTGATATTTTTCTATCTAGAACCACCCCTAGATCTTTCTTTATCAGAATTCTTTAAAAGATTTCTTACATAATTTATAGCTTGTGTGGGGTCCATGTTCTCCACATTCCATAACATGGCCTTTATTCAAAATAAATTCCATTTGATAAGTGGTGCTCCATGTACTTATTTGTCCATACAAAATATGCAGTTCGTTGACAGAATATTACCCGGTTGCTCTGCTTGAACCACCGAACGGCACCTCTTCAGTTCTTCAGGCGCAACACAGGTAGATAAAGACAGACGTTTTAACACAAGGGGACAGGTGGAAATTGAGTGCCCAAATGAGCCATAGAGACGTTTTCGTCTAACGTTTTCTGTGTCAGAGTAGTAGATAATACTCTGACACAGTATTATCTATGTATTGTCTACTATTGACAAATGGAGTGCATTAGGAAGTGTTGTGGTAGAAGTTAACTCCATACACAGCTTCAAGTGTAGATATGATAGAGCCCAGTAGGCTCAGGAACCTGTACACCTGTTGATTGACGGTGGTCAGGTGGGACCAAAGAGCCAGAGCTCAACCCGCGCAAGCAAGGTAAGTACAGGTCCCACCTGAAGGCCACGCAAGGCCAACAAAACTCAAGCTGAATCCAGACCACCACACGTCATTGTGGTGTTCTGTTCTGAACCCTCCTGTGACTTACCTGGAATAGGCAATAGGCGTACTAGTGTTGGAGTAAAGGCGGTCGCAGACGGCTGTCAAACGGTGGAAGTTTAGAAGTTTTCTTCACTAATATAATTCTGTTCGCACACAATGTTTCGTAGCACTGACTTCACCACTGATGATTATTTCACTACTGATTATTTACGCTTGAGAGTGTGGCTTATATACCCCCTTAGAGGAGACGTGCACTTGAACTTCCCCCCACCTGGGTAACAGTTGGGAAAAACCCACATGGTTTATTTATATAATGGTATCTAAATATTTTACTTAATCCAATAAGTGAAATGTTTGTCAAAATGTAGCTTTCATGACCTCTGAGGTCCATTTACTAAATTAAATAAATAAACTGTGACGATGCAAGCCCTCAATCGATGCATTTAAAAACAAAAATGTACACAAGATGGCCATCATGAACATAAGAACAAAGGTAACTGCAGACGGCCTGTTGGTCCATACATAAGAACAAAGGTAACTGCAGAAGGCCTATTGGCCCATACGAGGCAGCTCCTATTTATAACCACCCAATCCCACTCATATACACTTCACGTACCGCTCCTGTGCCAGGTAAGTTATGGGCTCACCATAGCCCTACTATTTAGAGCTTGTTCCTAGTAGCTAAATCTATAACAACCACCACCACTCATATACATGTCCAACCCACGCTTGAAACAATCGAGGGACCCCACCTCCCCCCACGTTACGCGTTAATTGGTTCCACAAATCAACAACCCTGTTCCAGAACCAGTTTTACCCAAGTCTGTAGACGATGAGTCACAATAACGTGGCTGAAGTATGTTGACCAGACCACACACTAGAAGGTGAAGGGACGACGACGTTTCGGTCCGTCCTGGGCCATTCTCAAGTAGATTGTGAGAATGGTCTCGACTTGAGAATGATCCAGGACGGACCGAAACGTCGTCGTCCCTTCACCTTCGAGTGTGTGGTCTGGTCAACATTGACCCAAGTCTTTCTTAAATCTAAACTTATCCAATTTATACCCATTATTTCGTGTTCTGTCTTGTAGACATAACACGTAGCTGAATCTTAAACAACAACAACTCTCAAAGCTATTGCAGGTTATCACTCAGGTTATGGTGCCAATGTCAGACTTGTCAAAATGATGTACCTTGCATACATCAGAAAAATGGATTATGCTGCACCTCTGCTGGTTTTGATGCCTGAAAGAAAGATGATGGTTTTGATGCTTGGTGCCAATCTCATGGTGTTGAGATTGCGAAGTCGGATTGCGAAAGGGATCTGGGAGTTATGTTTAGTAAGAATTTAAAACAAAAGGATCAATGCATAAATGTTCGTAATAAGGCAAATCGGACACTTGGATTTATTAATCGCAGCGTTAGTAACAAGACACCTGGTGTTGTTCTTCAGCTATATCTTGCTCTAGTTAGGCCCCATTATATGCAGTTCAGTTTTTATCGCCATATTATAGAATGGATATAAATTCACTTGAATGTGTCCAGCGTAGGTTGACTAAGTTAATTCCCCAAATTAGAAATCTTTCATATGAAGAAAGATTAACAAAGCTTAAGTTGCATTCACTGGAAAGGCGAAGAGTTAGGGGTGACATGATAGAGGTTTACAAGTGGGTGAATGGACATAACAAAGGGGATATTAATAGGGTATTAAAAGTATCAACACAAGACAGAACACGAAACAATGGGTATAAATTGGATAAGTTTAGATTTAGGAAAGACTTGGGTAAATACTGGTTCAGTAACAGGGTTGTTGATTTGTAGAACCAATTACCGCGTAACGTGCTGGAGGTGGGGTCCCTCGATTGTTTCAAGCGCGGGTTGGACAAGTATATGAGTGGGATTGGGTGGTTATAAATAGGAGCTGCCTCGTATAGGCCAATAGGCCTTCTGAAGTTGCCTTTGTTCTTATGTTCTTATGTAACGTGGTGGAGGTGGGGTCCCTCGATTGTTTCAAGCGCGGGTTGGACAAGTATATGAGTGGGATTGGGTGGTTATAGATAGCTGCCTCGTACGGGCCAATATGCCTTCTGCAGTTACCTTTGTTCTTATGTTCTTAAAAATACTACACATCTCTTGATATCAGTTATCTGACCTGTCTCAGTTTTTTTTATGGTCTTATCCTTTCTCTAATCTTCGTTCGACATAACTGAAAAAATCTCTTTAGGATTTGTCTTCGCTGGTTATTGGTTACCGAATCAGTATTTACCCTGGTCTTTCCTAAATCTAAACATACAATTTATACCCATTGATTCATGTTCTATTTTGTGTTGATATATTTAATACCCTATTAATATCCTCTTTGTTATGACCATTCATCCTCTTGTACAACTATCATGTCACCCCTAATTCTTGGACTTTGATTTATATGGGAAATTCTTTACCATTAATACAGTACTGTATATACAGTATGATGATGTACAGTATATGGTTTTCTTTGCCTATATATGAGTGAGTTTGGATGGATATAAATAGGAGCTGTCTAATATGGGCTAATAGGCCTAACAACTTAATATTTACATTCCCTAGAAAAGTGAAGAGTTAGGGATGACATGTTTGAAGTGTACAAGTGGATAAATGGGCATATAATAATAGGGCTATTAATCAACACATAATAGAACACAAAACAATGGACATAAATTGGATAAGCAGATGATGAGTCAAAATAACATGACTGAAGCAACCCGTCCTCTGACCAAGTCCATTCCATTCAGTGGTCGACCCCAAAGACGCATTTCACAAATTTTTACATGCTGTTCATTCAAAACATGAATTTTCTCATATATAAATATTATTTTATATTAGCATATTGTACTGGTACATGTTTAGGCACTGGATAGGTTAGGTTAGGTGTTAAGGTTCTGTTGGTGATTATTTGTATTTGTAATACGTGGATCCATTATCTTTAGTACCTTTACAGAGTTGTGGTTCGAACAAAATTCGTCAGTGAAGCAAAACTAGTCTCCGTGGTGTAGTGGTAAGACACTCGCCTGGCGTTCCGCGAGCGCTTTGTCATGGGTTCGTATCCTGGTCGGGGAGGATTTACTGGGCGCAAATCCTTAACTGTAGCCTCGGTTTAACTCAAAAGTAAAATGGGTACTTGGTTGTAAAAACGATTCTTCATGGGGGTTGTATTCCAGGGACCTGCCCAAAACGCTACGCGTACTAGTGGCTGTACAAGAATGTAACAACTCTTGTATAAAAAAAAAAAAAAAAAAAAAAAAAAAAAATGTTCCGTAAGAGTTCGAACGAAATCATTTGCAAGTCGTGTGTAAACCGTTTTTATTCATAAACAGTGGGTTTGGCGGGTGCATGGAATGACTTTTAGGTCTTTGTTTGAAGGACTGGCTGTGAGTCTTTGTTTGGAGGAAGGGCTGTGAGTCTTTGTTTGGAGGATGGGCTGCAGTGACGCACTTGTTCCGGAAGTATTCGAACGTCATCGGTTGTGAGTCGTGTGTAAACCGGTTTTTATTCATAAACAAGAGGTTTGGTGGGTGCATGGAAGAGACTTTGGGTTTTTGGAGGACGGGCTGAGCTGAAGACATGATAACCAAACCACGCATCAGAAGATGAGGGGACGATGTTTCGGTCCATCCTGGACCATCATAATTCTTGAAAATGGGGATGGGAATAATGGTACTTATTGAAAATAATATTGTAAATATTTTAGTTAGACATAAAATGCTTTATCTGTAATGTTCTTAGATATAGAGGTCGGTATATATTTTGTATTATTGTACAATATAAGTACTCACTTGTAGTATTACAAGATTTGGGAAATATTGGGGTATAAATTGGATAAGTTCAGATTTAGGAAAGACTTGGGTAAAGAAAAAAACAGTACATACAAAAAAGTACTGGTTCGGAAGCAGGGTTGTTGATTTGTGGAACCAATTACCACGTAACGTGGTGGAGGTGGGGGTCCCTTGATAGTTTCAAACGTGGGTTGGATATGTATATGAGTGGGATTGGGTGGTTATAAATAGGAGCTGCCTCGTATGGGTCATTAGGCCTTCTGCAGTTACCTTTATTTTTATGTTCTTATGTTCTAAATGCAGTGTGCAGAATGTTGTTACTGTATTCCTACCATAAAACAAAATTTTATCATGCAAACAGAAGGACTCTACCTCACTTTACTATTATACTGGTGTGTAGCATAATGAATGATGTGCAATATCATTCAGACAATTAAATACTGTTGAGTCTGGACAGAAACTGGCTGAGAGATCGTGAAGATATTCTTCTAGAGGGAGGGACCTCGATAAGCCAAACAAACTTCCTGATCCCGACTATAGGAAACCTTTTTTAATTGTTAGTAAGTTTGCCTTTTAACATTAACAAAAATAAACATTAAATCATATACAGAACAGTATGATGTACTGTATTGGGAAACATTAAAACTGGACCACAAATTTTGAATACAAAATAGTAACACATCATTTAAATATGTACTGAGGTGATATTTTTCTAGTAAAATTCATGCAGATAATTTTATTTTATTTACTATGATGAAAATTGCACACACAAAAATAAGTATACAAGGTATCTCTATATGAGACACTTGATGATAAACCAAACTAATTTTATGTACAGTACATGTCCAGTATACTATTTATGTACCCAACTGTATATGAGTTGTTAAAAACAAGCAATGTTATTATATATTTTGTGCTGCCCCTTTGCTTCATTAGATCTTCATAAATCTTCAAGCAAAAGCCTATATTTTATTAAATATTTCCCAGTACAAACTTTACAAAACTTGTAACACGTCTAACAAAATAAGGCTCATCATTAAGAACATTTTAATGCATTATGGGACATTTAAATAACAAATAATGGAAATGCTAGAAACTCTAATCTTTTCTTAGATTATGCTACAGTACAAATATATGACTAAACATGAGAATTTGCTATGTCAATACAGTATAAAGAAAATTAACTATTAAAGATTGCAAGATAATTACTGTACTGTCAAACCAAATCTCTTAATTGCACCAGAAAGATAATTAAAACTGAATCTCTTCTTTATACTACAATGCATCATGAACTCTATATATAAGAAACTTCATGTAAACTATACACAAATTTTATTTAGTATCCGAGTGAAATGCTCTTTCAGTAGCTCTCATTGCATGGTGGACGACAATAAAACATATAATTTAACATTATTTTGTATAATTTTTGGATGTGCACAACTAAAAATGTGAAACACTTATTTTCATGTATAATTTATAAATTAAATTATCCTGTGTGTATAATCTTTTACCGCTTCTCAAATTCTTCATAAATTTACCACTCAATTATTAGCTATCCACAATGTCTTTATACAAAAAATATCTTATTTAATTTATTTTAATTTTGTTGCAATTACTGTACTCTATGATTACACAAAATTCTATTTTCTTCAAGATCGGATGTAAAATATTTTCCACAAAATACAAAAGCTAAAATATTTGAGTTGATCTTGCGTAATACCAAGCAGCAAAAGAGAACCAGATTTCAGTACCAACAATTGCAATATACCTACAGTTAACTACATTGTAAATGAACACCTCTTTCCTGGACCGAAAATATTTTCATTCCGTGATATGTCAAGGTTGTGTGGCTAGTCAATTTCTGCGTAAGATATCTAGTTGCACACTACCGCTTTCAGCCTCACTGCTATAGGCCTAGTTTTATCAGTCAGGCACCCCGAGGCAACACGACCTGAGTGCACACAACATACACACAGTAGTAAGGATTGGAGGAAGACTTCGTATTCAATTTCGGTATAGCATGAGCACTGAAGTATCTCCAATCTCATATCCTTGGATTTATAATGAAAAACAAAAGACATGTCAACACTAAACCAGCTCAAAATGTAGCTATGCTTAGCTGTAAATATGAAAAATCAAATATGAATGATGACTTTTGAGAACAAAATAGAAATAATTCAGAAGATAGAGAAGAGCATTTCTAGGCACAGTATATAATGAATACATTGCTAGCAAGAAAGCAATTTATGATATGAGGAGAAAAGGTAACTTCACTGAATGTTACAGTCACAATGAAAGTGATAACATCAAAGGCAAAAGGAAGGCAGTAAGCTTAAGTGTTGAATATTTAGTGTGGGAGTGATGCATACAGGGACGTGTAATAATGAAAAAGCCTGCATCAGGATGGCTGCTCACGGAGAAACCACCACAATTCCACGAGGCAATGAAAATTACCGAGCAATATTTGTAATACAATTATGGTACAGTACAACAAAACTACAGAATTTATCCGTAACTTAATAAACAAACATTTTTACTTTGGTGAATACTATACAATTGTTTTTAATTATTCTCAGGAAGGGCAATGAGGTTTTCTGACAAGGTATGTTTCTCATTTAGTCTGTGTCAATGTGTCCAGGTGTTGTGTTTGATTATAAAATATTTATAGTTAAGTATTAATGAAACACTACTCAGTCACCTGTTATGATTCCAAAAAGAACTTAAAGGCAGTGACAAAAGTAAGTTCTCTTATACTTTTAAAGTTAATATAAAATTCAAAGATAAAGTAGAATACAGGTATAGTCCTTCATTTATGTGCAAATGTACACATAACATGAACAAAACAATATAATTTAGGCACTTGAAGTGACAGACTGTATAACCTGTAGCATCTTTGTATAAAGTGCCATGTTATTGTCATGTGAAGCTCTCAACGATTCCAGTATTCTTTTTCTGTATGCTCTTCGTTGGTCCTCCTCTTCCTCTAGCCAACTGATAATTTCGTTAACTTCTTTATCATCAATGCCATCTGCTTCATAAACCTTAAGTGAGTGAATAGGATTTTGTCTGGCACTGTCATTTGTGCTCAGGCCAAATATTGCCTCATTATTTATAGACATGGCTTCAGCAACTTCAGCACCAAAATTCAAAAGCTTGCTCATTAGGACTTTATTGACAGGTGTAACTGCGTCGATACTGTCTCCCGATGCAATGCCTTTATTTTGTGTTTCCAAGCTGCTGTTTCTTTTGCGCCTTATTTTTTTATAGCTTCCTGAAGTTTTTCCTTCATTTGGCGAAGAATCATAGTCCAGCTTCCTCTTTTTCATCTTCCTTGGTTTTTTATTTGAAGAGGGGTCAGTATTTTTGAGATGAGAAGTCATGCTGGATGTCTTCTTGGTGGTCCTTACTTTTGTCCGAGAAGATGAGTTTGCAAGTCTTTTCACAGCCACTGTACTATCCCCAATACTTTTACTTTTTCGTCCTGGTTTTCCTTTCACATAATAGTTTGATAGTTTCCTCAGTAAGCTTTTGGCTTCATGCTCTTTAAGATTTGAAAACTCTGTCTCTGAAGAACCAGCACTTGAAATTTTGGTTTGCTCACTCAACAAGAATTCAGCTCTTTCTTTTTTCACATTAACTGAAAAGAAAGAAACAACTTGGAGAGAGAGACCTATTTTCCTTAATATTAGGTATGTATTACAATAAGGTCATTCATTCATTTATCATTATTACCCTGCTTCCCACTTTGATGGAGTGAGAAATTGTTCATTACTATATTTATATTTTACTGTAATGTGCAAAGTTTAAAAATGTTATCTAAAGTATTCCACAATCAAACTCTAGAGTACAGTATGGTTGTTCCCATATTTATAACATTGCCAAATACATACCATATAGGATACAGAAGGGCTCATTACAAATACATATACCCTGCAGCAAAAGGGGAATAGAATATCTGCAATAAGTCTGTATACAAGAAAACTGATAAGAGATAATTTCTCTTACACCATAACAACAAGGCTATCATGCAGTATAAAGACAATATTCACCTAACCTCTGGGTTATATTTACAATCTAGAAGAAATTTCTCCAGAGGAAAAAGTCAAAGTGGAGAAGATAGGGTGGTGTAGTTACTTAATCACGGAGATTATCAATAAAGGAAGGAACAATCTTATTCTATCTCATATGCTTTGGTAAGAAGAGGGGTCTCAACAAGCCAAAAGTGCCCTCAGGCCATCAGAACATGCAATATCCCCCCAAAGAATGATACATTTCTAAAGGAAGGGATAGGAACATATAAATACAGTAACCAAGAACTGTAATTCAAAAACATTAATAACTACTCCAATCTGCTGCAAGGTCTTGACAAGTGTTACCAGTAAATGCCAGGATTTGTATCTGATCACTTACACCGAACTAGCCAATTAACAGTCAAGGGACTGATGTTTACTATCCTTAGATACACCACTGTACTGTTTGTTTCTAATTTGGCTTAGGCTAGTTTCCAAAATGAACTCTAAAACATATGGCAACCTGCATGCCATAAAAATAAAAGGCTTCAACAAAATTCAGCCCATTGAGGGTGATAAACTTTTTTATTTCATTTGACTTGCACTATTGACTCCAAAACGACAAATGGATAAATTTTTAAACACCATTTGTAAATAGTACATACCATTAGCAGATTTACTTTTGCATGCATCTCAAATATAATATGGGGTCCTTCCATGAATCAAAACAATACAATGATATACAAAGCATGATTAATTCAACAACTGATTTGTCAGTGCATTGATGACAAGGAATTATTCATATGCAGCGAGTCTACACGCTTTGAAATTCTTCAATAATATACTCATTATTAATCTTTGTAAATCCACAATGGGAACCCCTCGGTCACTCCATCTTATGGGCAGGTTTACAATCTGGACTTAGGCTCCCAACAGAAGATCAACAAAGGAAAGAGCTCTATGGCACAGCAGGACCACAGGACTCTCAGTAAGCGACAACATGTGGGCCGGGTCACTCGTCAAGATTGAACCATTTGGAATGAACAAGAACAAGAAAGAGGGATTCTATAGGAGACATACAAATGTAACCCCACATATCAAATGAAATAAATCCAAAATAGCAAAGAGAAAAACAAAGAAGAGAGGTACTGTGCAACTGCAAGCAGAGTCAAACAACTTGGGAGGGTGATGCACATCAGTGTGATCCACACTTCCACCATCTACTGCATGTTAATGTGAGAACACACCAACTCTGGAAACCAACCCCATTATCCTGGATTTTGACGGTTGGAAGAAAATCAACAGCCCACACCAAATACATTGAGGAAAATAATTTTGAATGGAAATTGGAGCTCGACAAAGGACAAACAATATAATAACACCATTAGCTAGATATTGTCTTTGAGGATACTCAAAACTAGAAAAAATTGGAATGGCATATGAGTTATGCAAGACTCAAACTAAATGGCAGTCTCTCTCTAGGACTGGGGAGAGATGTGAAACCAGCTGCATCAGCCATAATGGATGCTGCCCCTTGAAGAGCTGAGGAACTTTGTCAAATTTACTAGAAAGGTTAACTTACCCAGCACCCACATGTGTCCTTGGCTAGGAGGTAAGGTCAGCAATTAGAAGTTCAAATGATAGTCACCAAAGTAGGCCAAGACATTGATCTGAAGAGCTGAAGCTTCTGAAAAATCACTCTAGTGTATCTGAACAAAGTTCAAGACCTAAGCTTTCTGAAAAGCATGCAGACATCTCATCACCACAAAAGGGCCAACAAGACGACAAGTAGTAGTCCTGCCAAAAACTACCAACCCTTCAGGCCTTCCTCCTAAGATTTACAAACGCCAAGAAAATGGTCAATTTAAAGTGTCCTCTCCTAACCTACCAGAGGACCCAAAACAGAAGACAGGACAATACGCCACTTTCGCGAGCCACTTCCATTTTCTAGCACGGCAATTTTTGGCCTTATGTAACGCATACGAGCGAAAAGCAACGTTCTTTGTAAGAGAACGGGTTGAATCCTTAATACAGTAGTGTCACTACCATGAGAACTGCACTGTCTCAAGGAAGAGGCATACCAGAGACCCTTCCTCCTAATAAAAAACAAGAACAGAGAAACAAAAAGGGGGAGAGCTACATTGAGGGCGTTCAAGTGGAAACTAAAAATCATGGGCGATTGGTAAAGAATTACACCACCTCCGTGCCTATGTTCACCTAGTAAAAAACCAGCGTTGAATGTAATGAAACACCATTTTCTGGGAGGCCCAGAGGCTCCCCAGAGCTATCCGAGCTGATACGAATGTATTAGACCCTGGCATCAGTCAAGCGATTGGAGTTCTTAAGCCTATCAGGGACCACGAGCCAGAACCTGGCCTCCTCAGAGGCATGAGGAGCAATGGCCTATAGAAACCCCCATGTGGTTGGAAGCATTCTATGTCTGACATCAACTGAGTCAGACACCCAGAAAGGTAAGTGCTCCAAAACAAACCCCTATTCTGGTTAAAAGATTGCTACTGAAAGCCGAATTGTTAGACAGAACTCCCCAAATGAAAACGAGCAAACATCCAGCAAGAGGCTGGATGTCAAAACCACCGACCGGAGGGAGGGACAGTTGGTCACCCCCCCCCCCCGAGTCTCGCCCAGAAAATGTAGTTTCATCACATTCAACGCTGGTTTTCTGGGGAGGAGCCCCTACAGCTCCCCCCCAGAAAACGGGTGGAGCTGCATAGACAGCTGCGTGGTAATGTGATGACATCATACTCGTTTGCTTGTTTTCATTTGGGGAGTTCTGTCCAACAGTTCGGCTTTCAGTAGCAATCTTTTAACCAGAATAGGGGTTTGTTTTGGGGAGCTTACCTTTCTGGGTGTCTGACCTGGTTGATGGCAGACATAGAATGCTTCCAACCACATGGGGGTTTCTATAGGCCATTGCTCCTCCTGCCTCTCTGAGGGGGGCCAGGTTCTAGCTCGTGGTCCTTGGTAGGCCTAAGAACTCCAATTACTTGACTGATGCCAGGGTCTAATACATTTATATCAGCCCAAATAGCTCCGGGGAGCCGTAGGGGCTTCCCCCAGAAAATAGGTACTCGAGTCCATTCAGCCTGAAGCTGAGAGAAGACCTTCTGGCTGATAAGGCATTCAATCAATTCTTACTATCTTCAAAACAATGAATAAGAAAATAATATAATTATTTCTTAAAGTAATGCCTAGTATTTAGTCAGTTTTCTTACTAAAAACTGCCCTAGTCTGCCTCTTGCCAAACATCTCATTATGTCAGCTTTTAGCACGATTCTAAGAATGTATAAATTACATTCATAACATCCCAGATATAAATTCCTCTTTGTTCCTATCACTTGGTAATTATTCTCAAGATTATTCTAAATCATATTCTATTAGAGTTCTATAAAAAAAATGTTAAATCAAGATTATTCATCAGTAAACTATGCGGTGGATGTTCCCACGCACAAGCGCTAGCAACCAGACCACGACATGGTACAAGGATTACAACCTGGAGTTCTACTGAACTACGGTGCGTGGGAACACCCGCCGCATAGGTTCGAACCCTCATCACGGCTCTTAACAGATTTTCTCATTGATGCAGTCACGTTAGTGTGATTACCCTCTGTGTAGGAAATATGTTCGCATCTACTATACTACTATATAAATCAAGCATTCTATTATTGAAATAATTATTACACTTGTGTAAGACAAGTCAAATCTATCTACAGTACTTCATAGGCAGAAAAAAACCAAATCTTTGCATACAGTATTTACCTTTCTCATGCATATAACTTTTAAGTTTTTCACTCAGCTTGGGTGTTCGCCGACTTCTGCGAGGCTCATTTGGCTCTGTAAATAATGAATCATATGTTACTGCACTTTATAAACAAAAGTACCTGTATGAATTGCCATCTACATTTCCGTGGAAATAAACTTTCCATTCACCTGAACTGTATGGGTCTCGAACCATGGACTCCCACACATGTGAGGCTATAGCAAACTTTACAGATGTGCAGTACAGATGCATAGTTGAGTCCAAAATTAAAATATTAGTTAAAATTCAAGTTTTTATTCGATCTTTATGGGACTGGTTTTAAAATGTGCGCCAGCGTCTTCCCATTTTCTGTGCTGGCCAAAATGAAAGACACAGCATGAGAATTGAGGTGACAAAAGTGAAAAAGAATATACACATTTTATTACTCTTGCGCACTCACGGGTAATGCTCGGTTGATTTCTAGGTTTGGTGCGGGTGGTACGCTGGGCTTTTGGACCTTGTATGCATATACAGTAATCCCGTAGGGAATTCTATTGCAAACATTTTGATACCAAAATGAATGATGTACAACAAAAATTGAGGTGAAAACAATTGAAAAAGAGTATACACACACATATCGCTCATGGGAAATGCTCAGGCCACTTTGGGGTAGTCTGGTACGTGCGCACCCAGAGAGCGAAAGTGATAAAAAGGAAAGTTTCCAGAAGCACCATCCTGCTGCTACTGGAATTTTCAACTGACTAAAAAAAAAAAAAAAAACATTTTGCCAGCAGGATGCTGCTTCTGGAAACTTTCCTCTTTAAGACTGCTCATAACCAAGTTGATAATGCTACGGTCTCACATGCCTGGGGTCTGCAGTTCGAGACCCATACAGTCCACAGAATGGACACAAAAGTATGTTTCAATGACTACCGATAGAAGGAAGTACAGTATTCCTGGTCATAATGCCAGGCATATTTCACATACACAAAAATATTATAATACACTAGTATTAAAAAAAGCCTCCAAATACAGTAAGAATATTTTAAAGATCAACAGACTTAGACGGGGAGACAATGAATGCAAGTGGTGTCGTGTGTGTGTGGGGTTGTTACTGGACAAGTGATGTGGATAAGATGTGGGCAAGGAGACAGAGAAGACACCATATGTCGCCTCTCAAATGTAAGTGCATAGGAGACATTTGATGGATAGGAGTGTGGAAGTGGTTGTAGTTGGGTGTGGGGATATTATTAGCGGTTGAGTGTGAGTGGGTGGAAGGAAGTATGTGTATGTAAAGGTGGTGTAGGGGCATTGGTGGGTGTACAGCTGGTGGTGAATTGGTGGTTTGGTGTGGTTGGGGTTAGAGTTCGGTATATGGTGGGTGGGCAAGTGTTGTAGTGTAGGCTACAGTCATGTGTTTTTGTGTATTATTGTATGATGGGTGCCTCCTTACAACTATTAGATACTACCAATTTCCAGTTATGTATTCAAGATCATTGCTTGTGACATGTTAAGGATTTCATCAGAATTTTGCAGTATCTATGGTGAGATCCTGTCAAGTCCCACAGACTTTGCTTTAACAAGTTGATGGAACTGACCCCGTACCCAATCCTCTGCCACAATTAATGTTTCTTGGATCTCTGGAGGAGCCCTCACTCCAGTATCAGGTGGTTCGTCTCATGCCACTTCAAACATCTCGTAGAACCTTTAATTTAACTCTGTATATACAGTACTTCCCTATCATTCAGTGATAACTCTTCACTTCTCTTGGTAAAGCACACCATTTATCATCACTCAAATGCTTTCCCAGTGTTAGGCCCAGGAGGCTTGTTAGACTTATCAAAGGTTTTCTCTAGACCAATGACTGATCTTTCCTGGGATGCAACCTATAACAGTTTCTTAACATCCAGGTACCTACTTACTATCAGGTGAACAAAGGCATCATGTGCACTTCATCATGACCCAATGAACGATGTACCCAGCCAAGCTACACTGACCTTTCCCCCAACATGCACACCCACCAAACACATCACAAAACTATGGCATTGCTACAACATTTGAACACGTTGCATTGCTACAACATTTGAACAAGTTGTAACTTCATTTACCAAGTTATAACAACTTTCTAACACATCATAAAAACTTTATAAAAAGATGTAACAAGTTGTAACAATAGGAACCATTACATTGTGTGTTTGCAGGGATATACCCATCCCACCTACCACTCTCATCCTCTCCCTACCTTCTGTATCATATATGAATATACGTACTGTACAGTACATTTACTGAGCAAGGGGCACATTTAATTTTGTTTAAGGATATTCACAATAATTTATATTGTGAGATATACTGTACTGGTATAGGGACTGGGATACTAATCTTTATTGCTTACAATCAAAATGTTTTTGAATATTTAAATTGACAAAGGTGAGTCTACAGTTCTGTTTTTTATTATTAACATTTTAGGTAGACAGCAATATGCTGCTACCCCATTCTATCAGAGTTCTATCATTAGTGATGATAGAACTCTGCCTAACCTGCCACTTCCACACCACACCCTTACCATCTTTCCCCATCACCCATCAACTCCTCACCCTAACTGCCATCCCACCTTCCCTCTCTCCCTTCATCTAAGAATCCCTTCCTCCCACATCCAACCTAAAGACTACCATCAACACTATGACCACCCAACCCAACACCAGCAATACCTATAACCAACCCACTTTGAATCCCTGCACCATCACCAACACCTCACCAACCCACTCGATGAGGTTATCTTGAGATGATTCCGGGGCTTTAGTGTCCCTGCGGCCCGGTCCTCAACCAGGCCTCCACCCCCAGGAGGCAGCCCGTGACAGCCGACTAACACCCAGGTACCTATTTTACTGCTAGGTAATTACATTACCTAGTAATGTAATTACCTATTAATTAGTAACAGGTAATTACGTTACCTGTTACCTTACCATTACCTGCTAGGTAATGAGCTGTCAACATCACGTCTACAACCCACCCATTTGCCTGACAGCAGTTATCCTGCCCACTCGTCTCAGAGGATTTGGAAAAGAAATACCTGTACAGTACTGTATAACTGTGAAGAAAACCTGTATGCAGTATTTGCTCTCACAAATTTCATTAACAAGTAACCGTAGTACAGTTGGCTTCATTCTCCACTCACAACTGAGGATCCTTGGTTCAATTCCTGGATGGAATAGAAATTATTTTTGCATGTTTCCTTTCACCTAATGCTTTTGCTTACCTAAAGTAAATAGGTACAGGTACTCAGAGGTTCAGCAATTGTGTTGGGGTTGCATCCTGGGGAAGGTTAGCATTTCAATATGGGGGGGGGACCTCAACAAAAGCCTAAAACACATTTATGCACAGGCTTCCTGTCCCCAACAAAATGAATTATTAACATCTTTGTTAATAAGGTTAAATGCTGCCTTTTCAAACAAATAAGTCTTGAGAAAATACATGAACAATAATTTACCAGTACACAGACTGCTAAAGCCAAAATTTTATCATCCTTTATAAAACAATCATTGTCAAGAGAGCAACAGAAGCAAGTACCATACATTCATTACCTTTTTCGCAGATAAATTCATCAAGTTTGGCTGGAGGTTTTCCCTGCCTTCTGCTTTTCCTAGCTGGTGCCATCTGTATAAAAAAAAATACAGCATATGAATTCATTAATTAACAATATGAACTAGAGACAACGTTTAGTCTCACAAACTTCTCTTCATGGCAGGGAATAAGACAACCTTAAGGCCCATCACAGCTTCACAAGACTTACCAAGGTAATCAACCTCTCTAACAATCTCATGAACACATCATGTAATTGAGGTTCAAGTAATATGAGAAGAGAAAAGCTTATGAATCTCTCTCAGAAATAAGTAATGTTCAAGCACGCTTGCCAAAAACTTTCAAAATCACCACCACCACAAGGAATAAACCTCATGTTTGAGCCCTCATTGCCTCAAATGCTGCGTGTCTTAGTGGCTTTAGGCATAGCATATACTAGCTCTAACTTGAATCTAACATCCTGTTTGTAACTCATTTTGTATGTATGCACTTTTACCTGAATAAAAAGTATTACAGTATTATTATTATTATTATTATTTATAAAAACATTTGAATCATATATATCTCACTTTACAACAACATTTATTATAGTTTCAAGAAAGTTCTTACAGAATTTAGCTTAAGATAAAATTTATTTACTAATTTATATACAAGAAGGTACAGTACATTGGGTTTATGAGAGTACAGAGACTTGAAGTTTATATTCTTGTAAAGCCTCTAGCATGCATAGCGTTTCGGTCATTTAAATCTAAATTATATATACAGTGCTTAATTGATATCTATAAAACAGAATGTCTGTCTGTCTGTCCAAGGTTAGAGACTAGAAGTTGATTAAACCACACACTAGAAAGTTAAGGGATGACGACATTTCGGTCAGTCCTGGACCATTCTCAAGTCGATTGTGAACGATTGAGACCATTCTCACAATCGACTTGAGAATGGTCCAGGACGGACCAAAACATCGTCGTCCCTTCACTTTCTAGTGTGTGGTTTGGTCAACATATTTCAGCCACGTTATTGTGACTCCTCGTCTGCACCTAGACGCAAGGAGCTAGCCACATACAACTGTTCAGGATGACAAATGGGTTGTAAGTGACTGTCATAGGCAGGTTGTGGTTGGCCTCATTGCCCACTTTTTATATTTTACTATAAAGAAGAATTGGCTTAATAATTAAGAAAATTTAACTAATTAAGAAGATTGGCTCCTATTGACAGAGACCCCAGGTACCACTCGATACCCCATCTAGTACTTTATATAAGAGCTAGCATAGAAGAAGCTCACCTCGACCACATGAGCAATACAGTTGGATAGGAGAGGTTTTTTACCTATGGTTAACTTAGTTTTGAGTTTTTCTGCTGTTGTTGGCTAGACTTCCTTGGTGATAACCTTATCAACATTCATAAAATGTAGCCTTGATAAGATGTACAATATTAAAGATAAAAACAAGCTTGTAATATATGTAACCACAGCATATATTGCCTGACAGATACAGGTCACTTTGTAAGCTTTTCTAACCTAACAACCCAACTCGACCTGAATTCAAGCAACATACTGACTTGTAAAGCAGAGGTAAGCACAGTTAGGTCACAGCCAAAAGGTCCAGGGTTTGATCCCTGCAGCAGGGCACCAGTGTTCAGCAACAGTTCCTTTCAGCTAATACCAATGTTCAACAGTAAATAGATACCCTGGTGTTAAAATAAACTGTTGTGAAATGTATTCTGGGGAAGGACAGAAGTTGGTCTAGCAGAACAAATCCACAAGGGCCGTGACGAGGATTCCAACCTGCGTCCGGGAGCATCCCAGACACTGCTTAATCGACTGCCTTAATCGGTTGTGTAAAATCCTGGTTTGTGCCTCGGAGAGGCTACGGGATCCAGTAAGTTCAGTAGAACTTCGGTTTCAACCCTTACCCTGTCGTAACTCAAGTCGATTAAGGCAGTGTCTGGGATGCTCCCGGACGCAGGTTCGAATCCTCGTCACGGCCCTTGTGGATTTGTTCATTTGATGCATCACGTTAGTGTGATCTCTGTGTGTGAAGTTGGTCTAGCAGGCTTACTGCCCAAGACTATAGGAAAACCATAAAGTGAACCATACCCAAACGTAACCAAACATAATCTCACCTATCCTAAAGTAATCTAATTTACCTAAACAGAGGCTAGCTTGACAATATTTAATTTAACCAATTACAAAACGAGTTATATTCAATTGGCCTGTGTACTAATGCCCCGATACCCCTGCCTGGCCTGACGGGTCCCACAGACGTGTTAAAGACTGGAGGAAGATTCACCTCCAAAAATCATATAAAGTGACGCCTTGAAACTCTCACTTTACAACACACTAACACTTACACTGACCTTGTCTCTTCACAGGACCAGCAGGGCACTTGCAACGGGTGTAACAATGGCTTAAGAAATCCAACTTCAGGAGTAAATGGTGTAAATCCTCCTCCAGCGGGCACCAAGCAGTTGACGTTCGTGTAAGACGGCCATGGCCGCCGCCCGCCAGACGCGATCACACCGTCACCTTATTACTTTATTTTATAACATCATTTTCTTCAATATATTGCATTAACTAATCTCGTTAAATTTAAATTATAATTTATAATGTGATTTAGTTCTATTATAAATACCTAAATATAATAAAATGTAAATAATGATTAAATAAAAATATTAAGTAAAAGAACTAAGTTCTTAGGAAAAGTAAAGCCGTATAGATATGCTGTACAAATGTGTTGTTTATAAACGCCAAAATTAACTTAAATAAATCTAATAATTATTTATACGTTCAAGTGTAAACATTAATAACTTTTTCAACACGAGCTTACAGTTAACCCTATGACTTGGAAGAAATATAGAGCATAAAAATAAAAATTGAGAATATAGTTAGTTTAGTTCATTTACTACATAGGATACTACTCGACTCTTTAACATGCCTAACTACTCGGCAATTCACAACTGTCGTCAAATGCACAGAGGTGGTGGTACTGCTCTTTACTACCACCAAGAACTAACATGCTTAAAAATAATTAGAACTAGAGACTGCTGTGGGGAGTATATCTTCGCCAGTTTCAGAGTCAAGGGTGCCGAGTCTGTCCTGTCTGTGGGTGCAGTCTATAGAATTCCTAACACTGATGTGTCTGAATTCAATTCAAACCTTAGAAATCTAATACTAGATAACAGACTGAACAAAAACCATCTAATTATCGCAGGGGACTTTAATATTGACCTCTGCGAGCCTGAACACCCTACTGCTGTTAGCTTCCTCAACTGTATGAATTCCTGCTTTCTCATACCCTTAATCACTAGACCAACTAGAATCACTGATAGTACTGCTACGACTCTAGATCACATCTGGACCAACATAACCTCTCCGCTTACTTCAGGTATAATCACCGATAGCACTACAGACCATTACCCCACATTTCTCTTAACTAACATTATCAAACCACCTCTTGAGTCAAGGGAGTTAAGCTTTAGGCTGCACAATGAAACGGCTTTAAACAATTTTATAACTGCTGCTGATAATGTCAACTGCATGGGAGTCCGAGTTAGGTAACATAGGGGACATCAACCTAGCAGTGCAATCTTTTCTACAAACAACTCTTAGCCTTTATAATATTCGAACCCCAGTTGGAAACAGACCCAACTATAGGATGGATTAACCCAAGTATCACGCTTCCAAAAGGATCGTCCAAGTTGGAAAAGACGAACGCTGAAAGAATATTGTTGAAAACATCTTGATAACTGATTAAACCAAAATTATTTATTAGTCAGAAGAAAGACAGAAACGTGATCTATATGTAAAACCTCTACCAGACAAATATTTGAAGTAAAACCGAAGATATTTGTAGTTGTATAAAAGTGGCAGTTTTCATCGCTCGTCAAACTCGAAAACCGCAGCATTCATCTCAGAACCATGCCTATTTCACGCAGATTCCTTAATAAATGTAAGAGTTTTATATGTCACAAGAAAGACAGATATATAAGCTTCGTTCTAAATACCTTACCATGGGCATATTTAAATTTAAAGCGAAGATACGTGTACTTTTATAATAGCCGAGCTCCGACTCCGGACAGATCGATCGACGGAGCAACTCTCTCTCAGAACAATGCTTATTTCACGTAAATTTGTAAATAATCGTAAATTTTTTATATGCCTCAAGAAAGATAGGAATATAAGGCTCATTTTAAACACTTTATCATAGACATAATTAAAGTTCTAATGAAGATTCATGTATTTTAATAATCGCCGAGCTCCGACCCCCGCATAGACAGAGCAACTCTCTCAGAAGAATGTTTATTTTACGTAAATTCGTTAATAAACACAAATGTTTTACACGTCTTAAGAAAGATAGAAATATAAGCTTTATTTTAAATACATTACATTAGACATATTTAAAGCTCAAGTGAAGATATATATGTTTTTATAGTGGCGTTCAGTAGCTTTTCGGTCATGGAGTGCAGACGCCTACGCACTTGCCAATATGTTGTGTAATTAACAAAGATACGCTAATAAAGCCTAAAATATTACATGCCTCCAGAAAGACAGAGCTATAATCGTTATTGTGAGTGCATCAAAGGAAATATATCATGTTGGAGACCAATGATATAGCAATTTTAATTTAAGTTTCGAGTCCCGCCCGGTCGAGAGAGATGGGGCGACTCTCGCCTCATCTATTGGAGATTCTGTCCACTAAAGACCCAAAGCTACTCAAACCTTCCTAGCATTACGTAAGCAATGAAGTAATATGGTATATTTACTCACTACAATGTGGATGCTGGATGCAGAAAATGAGAGAACATAATTTTACTCTGAAAAAATATAATTTCATAACAAAATAAGATGTAAATATGTAATATCAAAGGAAGTCGATGGTCCAAGCAACAATATCGTGGAGCGGCTTATCCAAGATATAATGCTCTCTGGAAAGTGTTTGCTGGCATATCAACCTTCTGTTCAAGTTCAAGTTCAAGTTCAAGTATGTTTATTGAGATAAGCAATAAATACATCTCAAAGGGATAGAGTAGCTTAGGCTATTTCTACCCCCCTCTACTTCAAGTCCCTCAAGGGGCGCACAAATTCAGTGAGTACAAATAGACATATAACAGTACAAGAATCCCATTTAACATTGCATACAGCAAGTACAGCATATAATTGTTACATTCTTGGGGCAAAATTCTTGTAGCTCCTAAGTATACAGTCTATTATACCATTATCCAACCTTCTGTACACAGTGATCCAGTCGTCGAACTTCTCTGCTCAAATTATCGCAAATTTAATTTATGATGTTAACAAGTAGAATGCGTATTTTTAATCAAATCTAACGATATTAACAAGTAGAATGCGTATTTTTAATCAAATCTAACATAACTAGCCAGAAAACGTTAAAGATTATTTAAAAATACATGGTTGGAAGTTAAATCAACTCCATAGAACAATATTTTTGTTATAGATACTAATCGTTATTTGTTGGTATGCGTTCGCTTCAAAAAAATTTCGAAATTCGCACTATTTTTGGCCGCTTGCGGCGAAATTTGCACGATTTTTGGCCGCTAGCGGCTTAAATCGCGCGATTTTTGCCCGCCAGCTGCAAAAATCGCATAGTTTCTGGCCGCTAGCGTCGAAAATAGCGCGGTTTTCGGCCTTTAGCCGCAAAAATCGCGCTATTTTTGGCCGGTAGCGGCGAAAATCGCGATTTTTGCCCGTCAGCTGCGAAAATCGCATGGTTTTTGACCGCTAGTGGCAAAAATCGCGCAGTTTTTGGCCGGTAGCGGCGAAAATCGCCCCATTTTTGGCCGCTAGCGGCGAAAATCGGTCGATTTTTGGCAGGTAGCGGCGAAATTCGCGCGATTTTTGCCCGCCTGCTGCAAAAATCGCATGGTTTCTGGCCGCTAGCGTCGAAAATAGCGCGGTTTTCGGCCTTTAGCCGCAAAAACCGCCCGATTTTTGGCCGCTAGCGGCGAATATCGCACGGTTTTTGGCCGCTAACAGTAAAAATCGCGCTATTTTTGGCCGGTAGCGGCGAAAATCGCGATTTTTTCCCGTCAGCTGCGAAAATCGCATGGTTTTTGACCGCTAGTGGCAAAAATCGCGCAGTTTTTGGCCGGTAGCGGCGAAAATCGCCCCATTTTTGGCCGCTAGCGGCGAAAATAGCCCTTTTTTTGGCCGCTAGCGGCGAAAATCGGTCGATTTTTGGCAGGTAGCGGCGAAATTCGCGCGATTTTTGCCCGCCTGCTGCAAAAATCGCATGGTTTCTGGCCGCTAGCGTCGAAAATAGCGCGGTTTTCGGCCGTTAGCGGCAAAAATCGCCCGATTTTTGGCCGCTAGCGGCGAAAATCGCACGGTTTTTGGCCGCTAGCGGCAAAAATCGCGCTATTTTTGCCCGCCAGCTGCAAAAATCGCACAGTTTCTGGCCGCTAGCGGCGAAAATCGCGCGATTTTTGGCCGCTAGCGGCGACAGTCTCCGTGGTGTAGTGGTAAGACACTCGCCTGGCGTTCCGCGAGCGCTATGTCATGGGTTCGTATCCTGGCCGGGGAGGATTTACTGGGCGCAATTCCTTAACTGTAGCCTCTGTTTAACGCAACAGTAAAATGTGTACTTGGATGAAAAAACGATTCTTCGCGGCAGGGGATCGTATTCCAGGGACCTGCCCGAAACGCTACGCGTACTAGTGGCTTTACATGAATGTAACAACTCTTGTATATATCTCAAAAAAAAAAAAAAAAAAAAAATAGCCCCTTTTTTGGCCGCTAGCGGCGAAAATCGGTCGATTTTTGGGAGGTAGCGGCGAAATTCGCGCGATTTTTGCCCGCCTGCTGCAAAAATCGCATGGTTTCTGGCCGCTAGCGTCGAAAATAGCGCGGTTTTCGGCCGTTAGTTGCAAAAATCGCCCGATTTTTGGCTGCTAGCGGCGAAAATCGCACGGTTTTTGGCTGCGAGCGGCGAAAATCGCGCTATTTTTGCCCGGTAGCGGCGAAAATCGCGATTTTTGCCCGCCAGCGGCGAAAATCGCATGGTTTTTGGCCGCTAGCGGCAAAAATCGCGCGGTTTTTGGCCGGTAGCGGCGATAATCGCGCTATTTTTAACCGCCAGCTGCAAAAATCGCATAGTTTCTGGCCGCTAGCGGTGAAAATCGCCCCGTTTTTGGCCGCTAGCGGCGAAAATAGCTTCTTTTTTGACCGCTAGCGGCGAAAATTGGTCGATTTTTGGCAGGTAGCGGCGAAATTCGCGCGATTTTTGCCCGCCAGCTGCAAAAGTAGCATGGTTTCTGGCCGCTTGCGGCGAAAATCGCCCTATTTTTGGCCGCTAGCAGCGAAAATTGACCCTTTTTTGGCCGCTAGCGGTGAAAATCGGTCGATTTTTGGCAGGTAGCGCGATTTTTGCCCGCAAGCTGCAAAAATCGCATGGTTTCTGGCCGCTAGCGTCGAAAATAGCGCGGTTTTCGGCCGTTAACTGCAAAAATCGCCCGATTTTTGGCCGCTAGTGGCGAAAATCGCACGGTTTTTGGCCGCTAGCGGCGAAAATCGCGCTATTTTTGGCCGGTAGCGGCGAAAATCGCGATGTTTGCCCGCCAGCTGCGAAAATCGCATGGTTTTTGGCCGCTAACGGCGAAAATTGCGCGGTTTTTGGCCGGTAGCGGCGAAAATCGCGCTATTTTTGCCCGCCAGCTGCAAAAATCGCCAAATTCTGGCTCTCTGCACGTATTTGCAGTTTGAAATTCCGACTTTTTATACCAAAAATAGGCCAATTACTGAAAGCGGCGGTGGGTCACATTTTGCCCAAACCCCCCTCCAGTTTTCAAAATATCCCAAACATCCCAAATCCGATACCTGAGCCATATTTTAGAGCCAAATTCTGGCTCTCTGCACGTATTCGCAGTTTGAAATTCCGGATTTTTATACCGAAAATATGCCAATTACTGAAAGCGGCGGTGGGTCACATTTTGCCCAAACCCCCCTGCAGTTTTTAAAACAATTTCGCGCTATCGGCGTTAAAAAAAATCATACCCTATGTGCTTCTGGCGGTTCGCGCGCCTACGCGGTAAGACCGAAAAAGTGTACACTCTTTTGACTGTCCTGACAATAATTGAAGGCGCACGTATTTAAATTTGGTATCACTGTGTTCGCAATAAAATTGTCTATAAGAACATACCTATAAAATGCCGCCAAAGCATAAGGACTATCAACACCAAATAAAAAACTATTCAGATCACTCGCCCAGAGCGCCAAACAGCAACAAAATGTTTCCACTCTCTTAATGGTTGCGAAGCCTACAGTTGTCCTACATCGCTAAATGTGGTATCATTGGAATCGCAATAAAATTCTCTACACGGACATATGCATATAAATATAGATTCAATGTCGTATCCCACCCAAAACAGTGTGGGAAGTGGCCGAAGTGTTACCCGCGGCGGCATATCGGCGAAACTCGCTTTGAAAAGTGTATATTCAATTCACTGTCCTGACTTTATTTGTTGATGTATGTATTTCATTTTTGTACCAATGTGCTCGCAATAGAATGTTCTATAAGAACATAAGTATTAAAGGTCACATAAGGATGCGTTCGACCGGCAACATATATAAAAACTACGTCGATTATACTCGTGTCAATAATACACTTGTTTTACCATGATGATTCACAGCCATGCCGTTCTCTTTATTAAGTTGTTCGGCTATTAGAGAAAACGTAAATTTCATGGCAAACATTTGTAAACTATTCCCAAGTTGATCGGATAATAAATGGATTTTATACAAATATTTTTTCTCGTGACTTCCGAGAGCAGCACGCGTGCGGTGTGATTAATAATATTGGTGACAACGACGGTCTGCTCGGATGCGTGAAAAAGTGTAAAATATCCCAAACATCCCAAATCAGATACCTGAGCCATATTTTAGTAAAATGTGTACTTGGATGAAAAAACGATTCTTCGCTGCAGGGGATCGTATTCCAGGGACCTGCCCGAAACGCTTTGCGTAATAGTGGCTTTAGGCATTGCATGTACTAGCTCTACCTATAAGTCAACCATTCTTTGTAAAAATTTATTGTATGTATGTACCTTACCTAAATAAACATTTTATTTTATTTTATTTTTTTATTTTTTATTTTAAGATATAGTTTCACCGAAGAAAGTTCAACACCGGCCGATATAAATATCCCAGAACTAAGTCAACTCTCATACCAAGAATGGTTAAGGGCCACAGAGCTAACCTTATTTACTTATTTATTTATATACAAGATGGTATAACCACACTGCAAACCACGCATGACAGAGCGGATTTTACCGAAACGTTTAAAACACTGAATAATTTGGAGGATGTTGAACCAGACAACTTCTTCAAGATGTCAGATGCAACACAAACAAGGAACAACGGTTTCAAGCTTAACAAACCTCAATGTAGGTCTGAAAACAGGAGCTGCTTTTTAACCCACAGGGTTATAAACCCATGGAACTACCTACCCGCCGAAGCCGTAAATGTCAAAACACTGTTGAATTTTAAGATCTAGCGTGAAAAAAATCATCAAAATAAATGGGGGGACCTTTGACAGGCCGCCGGCTTCTAACAAGAAGCGGCTTCCTGTCTTCGTCGAGGCCACTAGTGTTAGTGAATCATAAGAACAAGGTAACTGCGGAAGACCTATTGGCCCATACGAGGCAGCTCCTATCTATAACCACCCAATCCCACTCATATACATGTCCAACCTGCGCTTGAAACAATCGAGGGACCCCACCTCCACCACGTTACGCGGTAATTGGTTCCACAAATCAACAACCCTGTTACCGAACCAGTATTTACCCAAGTCTTTCCTAAATCTAAACTTATCCAATTTATACCCATTGTTTCGTGTTCTGTCTTGTGTTGATACTTTTTTAGTTAGTTAGTTTAGTTCATTTATTATGCACCCCATACCCATCTTGTGGGTGGTAGTGGAAAGGGCATGTAATGGCTGTTATCCCCTTTGTTATGTCCATTCATCCACTTGTAAACCTCTATCATGTCACCCCTAACTCTTCGCCTTTCCAGTGAATGCAACTTAAGCTTTGTTAATCTTTCTTCACATGAAAGATTTCTAATTTGGGGAATTAACTTAGTCATCCTACGCTGGACACGTTCAAGTGAATTTATATCCATTCTATAATACGGCGACCAAAACTGAACTGCATAATCTAAATGGGACCAAACCAGAGCAAGATATAACTGAAGAACAACACCAGGTGTCTTGTTACTAACGCTTCGATTAATAAATCCCAGTGTCCTATATTTGCCTTATTACGAACATTCAGGCATTGATCATTTTGTTTTAAATTCTTACTAATCATATCTCCCAGATCCCTTTCGCAATCCGACTTCGCAATCTCAACACCATCAAGCTCGTATCTTGTAACTCTATCATCATTACCTAGCCTCAGAACTTTACATTTATCAGCATTAAACTGCAGACTCGGGTAAATTCAGGTAAAATATAAAAGTATATCTAACTCGTTTTCTTTGAAACGGTCTGAATAATTTGATTTCTGCAAATGAAAATTATCTGAGGGGTCACTGACATATATTGGTCTCGACGAAAGAAAGGATTAGTAGAAATTCTAAGAGAGAATCAAATAGTTTCCGACTTTCATATTATTTCACCTGTCAGCTAATGATATTAGGTGAACATGCTTGTGCTTTAATTTTATTTAGTAGCCCCTCATATATAATATGGTATTAGTAGTAGAAGTAGTACATTGTACTACCTAAGCTTTTAATCAAAACAAAATGCACAAATTCACTACACAATTGAGGTTCTTATTTGCGTCTTATTTCATTGTAAAAGGAGTTAATTTCCAAACAGGGTTGTATAAATAAATCTTATCTTATCTTTGCATTCAATTTTGTACGGTAATTTTTCAAACTTAAAATGTAAATAGCTATATATATATACCCCCTCTAAATGAAAAATGGCCTAATTTAACATATGTGCTAAAAATATTAACATAAATAATTCGTTTGTTAGATAACAAGATATTCATAGCAATAAGGTTTCTTGGAATGGCCTATAATGCACGCAAATACTAGTTTACGCACTTTTCGGGTAGTACGCCTGGAATTTCAAAATGGCGTTCAAACGGCGGTTGGTCGTTGAAGGCTCAGCTGCTCAGTAACGTCGCTGCCGCCAACGCGACAACATGTACCGCTGATTTCCGACATCAGCAACATTGCTCCAGGTAAGAGTGATAATTCTTTTTGACATATTTATATCTTATATATACACAGTATATAGAATTATATAATATAATGGGGTTTCGCGTATGGAGTTAATTTGCTTCGAACAATGCCTATCAATGTTAGTTTAGTTCGTTTATTATGCACCCCATACCCATCTTGTGGGGCTACCTTGAGGTGCTTCCGGGGCTTAGTGTCCCCGCGGCCCGGTCGTCGACCAGGCCTCCTGGTTGCTGGACTGATCAACCAGGCTGTTGGACGCGGCTGCTCGCAGCCTGACGTATGCGTCACAGCCTCGTTGATCAGGTATCCTTTGGAGGTGCTTATCCAGTTCTCTCTTGAACACTGTGAGGGGTCGGCCAGTTATGCCCCTTATGTGTAGTGGAAGCGTGTTGAACAGTCTCGGGCCTCTGATGTTGATAGTTCTCTCTGAGTACCTGTTGTACCTCTGCTGGGCGGTAGTGGAAAGGGTTACAGAGGCACATAATGGGCTCTGGGACTGAACCCCACAATTCATTTAGCTAAGCAAGTTACAATCTTGATGAGTTAGTTACAAAATTCAATATAAGTCGTCACATCAACAATGGGTTCGAGATCGACCTCAAGTACAGGTTCTAAATTAAGCACCTGACATATGTGGAGAGCTATTGTCACAATTTATGTTTGTCCTGCACACCGCCCCCCATCCAGTGGGCAGCGGTGGATAGGTTACAATCACTCGGTTACTACCTACAGTTAGCAGACTGGGGATATTTGGCTAAAATTTCTGGTAGCAGATCAGGTCCCCCATTTGTTCCGATTTTTTTTCAAATTGGATTTTACAATTCAAGTGTTATGTTATTTACTGCTTTAGCAGATAGGCGGTTCCATGGGTTTATAACCCTGTGGGTGAAAATATAGCTTATGTTTTCAGTCCTACACTGCGGCTTGTTGGACTTGAAACCGTTGTTCCTTGTTTGTGTTCCATCTGACCTTTTGAAGTTGTTCTCTGGATCCATATCTTCGAAACTGTTCAATATTTTAATAGGCAGGCGATGAGTCACAATAACGTGGCTGAAGTATGTTGACCAGACCACACACTAGAAGTTGAAGGGACGACGAGTTTCGGTCCGTCCTGGACCATTCTCAAGTCGATTCAAGTCGATATTTTAATAGTTTCGGTGAGATCCATCCTGGCATGCCTAGTTTGCAGTGTTGTTAGCCCTGTGACCCTCAACCGTTCATGGTATGAAACTAGACCTCATTCTGCAATTATTTTTGTCGCCTGGTGTTCAATTTTCTCCATGAAAGGTTGGGCGCGGGGTGGGTTCTCTGTCGGGCTCCAAGTGGGTTCTCTGTCGGGCTCCAAGTGGGTTCTCTGTCGGGCTCCAAGTGGGTTCTCTGTCGGGCTCCAAGTGGGTTCTCTGTCGGGCTCCAAGTGGGTTCTCTGTCGGGCTCCAAGTGGGTTCTCTGTCGGGCTCCAAGTGGGTTCTCTGTCGGGCCCCAAGTGGGTTCTCTGTCGGGCCCCAAGTGGGTTCTCTGTCGGGCCCCAAGTGGGTTCTCTGTCGGGCCCCAAGTGGGTTCTCTGTCGGGCCCCAAGTGGGTTCTCTGTCGGGCCCCAAGTGGGTTCTCTGTCGGGCCCCAAGTGGGTTCTCTGTCGGGCCCCAAGTGGGTTCTCTGTCGGGCCCCAAGTGGGTTCTCTGTCGGGCCCCAAGTGGGTTCTCTGTCGGGCCCCAAGTGGGTTCTCTGTCGGGCCCCAAGTGGGTTCTCTGTCGGGCCCCAAGTGGGTTCTCTGTCGGGCCCCAAGTGGGTTCTCTGTCGGGCCCCAAGTGGGTTCTCTGTCGGGCCCCAAGTGGGTTCTCTGTCGGGCCCCAAGTGGGTTCTCTGTCGGGCCCCAAGTGGGTTCTCTGTCGGGGCTCCGGGGTGGGTTGTCGGTCGGGGCTCCGGGGTGGGTTGTCGGTCGGGGCTCCGGGGTGGGTTGTCGGTCGGGGCTCCGGGGTGGGTTGTCGGTCGGGGCTCCGGGGTGGGTTGTCGGTCGGGGCTCCGGGGTGGGTTGTCGGTCGGGGCTCCGGGGTGGGTTGTCGGTCGGGGCTCCGGGGTGGGTTGTCGGTCGGGGCTCCGGGGTCGGTCGGGGCTCCGGGGTGGGTTGTCGGTCGGGGCTCCGGGGTGGGTTGTCGGTCGGGGCTCCGGGGTGGGTTGTCGGTCGGGGCTCCGGGGTGGGTTGTCGGTCGGGGCTCCGGGGTGGGTTGTCGGTCGGGGCTCCGGGGTGGGTTGTCGGTCGGGGCTCCGGGGTGGGTTGTCGGTCGGGGCTCCGGGGTGGGTTGTCGGTCGGGGCTCCGGGGTGGGTTGTCGGTCGGGGCTCCGGGGTGGGTTGTCGGTCGGGGCTCCGGGGTGGGTTGTCGGTCGGGGCTCCGGGGTGGGTTGTCGGTCGGGGCTCCGGGGTGGGTTGTCGGTCGGGGCTCCGGGGTGGGTTGTCGGTCGGGGCTCCGGGGTGGGTTGTCGGTCGGGGCTCCGGGGTGGGTTGTCGGTCGGGGCTCCGGGGTGGGTTGTCGGTCGGGGCTCCGGGGTGGGTTGTCGGTCGGGGCTCCGGGGTGGGTTGTCGGTCGGGGCTCCGGGGTGGGTTGTCGGTCGGGGCTCCGGGGTGGGTTGTCGGTCGGGGCTCCGGGGTGGGTTGTCGGTCGGGGCTCCGGGGTGGGTTGTCGGTCGGGGCTCCGGGGTGGGTTGTCGGTCGGGGCTCCGGGGTGGGTTGTCGGTCGGGGCTCCGGGGTGGGTTGTCGGTCGGGGCTCCGGGGTGGGTTGTCGGTCGGGGCTCCGGGGTGGGTTGTCGGTCGGGGCTCCGGGGTGGGTTGTCGGTCGGGGCTCCGGGGTGGGTTGTCGGTCGGGGCTCCGGGCAGGCTTTAGGTACTCAACTGGCGGGCTCTGGGTGGGTGACTGTTCGGGCTCCAGGTGGGTGTCTGTCCGGCTTCGGGTGGGTTCTTGGTAGGGCTTGGGGGGTGTGGGTTCTTGGTAGGGCTTGGGGGGGTGTGGGTACTTGGTAGGGCTTGGGGGGGTGTGGGTACTTGGTAGGGCTTGGGGGGGTGTGGGTAGGGCTTGGTAGGGCTTGGGGGGGGGGTGGGGTTCTTGGTAGGGCTTGGGGGGGTGTGGGTTCTTGGTAGGACTTGGGGGGGTGTGGGTTCTTGGTAGGACTTGGGGGGGGTGTGGGTTCTTGGTAGGGCTTGGGGGGGGGGGGTTCTTGGTAGGGCTTGGGGGGGGTGGGGTTCTTGGTAGGGCTTGGGGGGTGTGGGTTCTTGGTAGGGCTTGGGGGGTGTGGGTTCTTGGTAGGGCTTGGGGGGGGGTGGGTTCTTGGTAGGGCTTGGGGGGGTGTGGGTTCTTGGTAGGGCTTGGGGGGGTGTGGGTTCTTGGTAGGGCTTGGGGGGGTGTGGGTTCTTGGTAGGGCTTGGGGGGGTGTGGGTTCTTGGTAGGGCTTGGGGGGGTGTGGGTACTTGGTAGGGCTTGGGGGGGTGTGGGTACTTGGTAGGGCTTGGGGGGGTGTGGGTTCTTGGTAGGGCTTGGGGGGGTGTGGGTTCTTGGTAGGGCTTGGGGGGGTGTGGGTTCTTGGTAGGGCTCGGGGGGGTGTGGGTTCTTGGTAGGGCTCGGGGGGGTGTGGGTTCTTGGTAGGGCTCGGGGGGGGGGTTCTTGGTGTGGGGGGTTCTTGGTAGGGCTCGGGGGGGTGTGGGTTCTTGGTAGGGCTCGGGGGGGTGTGGGTTCTTGGTAGGGCTCGGGGGGGGTGTGGGTTCTTGGTAGGGCTCGGGGGGGTGTGGGTTCTTGGTAGGGCTCGGGGGGGTGTGGGTTCTTGGTAGGGCTCGGGGGGGTGTGGGTTCTTGGTAGGGCTCGGGGGGGGGGGGGCTGGGGGGGTTCTTGGTAGGGCTCGGGGGGGTTGGGTTCTCTGTAGGGCTCGGGGTGGGTTCTCGGTAGGGCTCGGGGTGGGTTCTCGGTAGGGCGGGCGGGCTCCAGGTACTCAACTGACGGGTTCCAGTTCACTCAACTGGCGGGCTCCGGTTCACTCAACTGGCGGGCTCCGGTTTATTAAACTGGCGGGCTCCGGGTGTTTGACTGGTCGGGCTCCGGGTGGGTGACTGTTCGGGCTCCAGGTGGGTGTCTGTCCGGCTTCGGGTATGTTCTTGGTAGGGCTTCGGGGTGGGTTCTTGGTAGGACTTAGGGTTGGCTCCCGGTCAGGCTCAGGGTGGGCTCTTTCGGGTTCGGGATGGGCTCTCGGGCTTGGGGTACCTCTGTAGGGCTCGGGGTAGGTTCTTGGTCGGGCCCAGGGTGGGTTCTCTGTAGGGCTCAGGGTGTTTTCATGGTAGGACTAGGGGTGGGTTCTCTGTAGGGATCAGGGTGGGTTCTCGGTAGGGCTCTGGGTGGGTTCTCGGTCGGGCTCGGGGCGGGCTCCAGGTACTCAACTGACGGGTTCCAGTTCACACAACTGGCGGGCTCCGGTTCACTCAACTGGCGGGCTCCGGTTTACTAAACTGGCGGGCTCCGGGTGTTTGACTGGTCGGGCTCCGGGTGGGTGACTGTTCGGGCTCCAGGTGGGTGTCTGTCCGGCTTCGGGTGGGTTCTCGGTAGGGCTTGGGGGTGGGTTCTCGGTAGGGCTTGGGGTGGGTTCTCGGTTGGGCTTGGGGGTGGGTTCCCGGTAGGGCTTGGGGCTGAGTTCCCGGTAGGGCTTGGGGCTGAGTTCCCGGTAGGGCTTGGGCTGGGTTCTCGGTAGGGCTTGGGGCTGGGTTCTCGGTAGGGCTTGGGGCTGGGTTCTCGGTAGGGCTTGGGGCTGGGTTCTCGGTAGGGCTTGGGGCTGGGTTCTCGGTAGGGCTTGGGGGGTGGGTTCTCGGTAGGGCTTGGGGGGTGGGTTCTCGGTAGGGCTTGGGGGGTGGGTTCTCGGTAGGGCTCGGGGTGGGCTCTTTCGGGATCGGGATAGGCTCTCGGGCTTGGGGAACCTCTGTAGGGCTCGGGGTAGGTTCTTGGTCGGGCTCAGGGTGGGTTCTCGGTA